TTGGCCAGGTCAGAGGCCTTCTTGGAGTCGAGAGTACAGAACACAGCCATAGGAGACACCTCGAAGCCTCCGAGACGTTCCGTCGTAATGTTGGAGAATGCGAGATGGTGCTGCGCGAATTGACGGCAAGGCTTGACCTTAGCAAGAACCCCAGCCGGTTAAGAGTGATCGGGAAATCACTCAAATGGCCGTTCGCGAGCACTGAGGTGTCTCAGAACATTGAGAGTCTACGCCACTGGAAGAATTGTTTCCTAGCAGCCTTGCAGGTGGATCACATGTATGTGAGGTCGTAAGCATGCACCCGAGCAAGTTCTAACTCAGTTAGGCATCTTGCGCTTCAGCGTGAAAACATAGAGGATGTCAAAACTCTGCCTAGTGCCTCAGGCGCCGCTTTCGATTCGTACGACAATGATACTGCGGGACTGTGTCACCCCGATACAAGACAAGAACTTCTTCGCACCATCGTGGAGTGGGCGGACAGCTCGGACGGGAAGTGCATCTTTTGGTTGAGAGGTCCTGCAGGTACCGGGAAATCTACCATTTCGAAGACAGTTGCACAGATGTTCGCGGACAAAGGTCAGCTCGCTGCAAGCTTTTTCTTCAACAGAACCCGAGAAGGTCGTAACACGGCCAACCTTTTTGTCACCACGATCGCAAGACAGATCGCTAGAAGGGTTCCAAAGCTTGAGGATCTAATTTTGAGAGCTATTCAAGAAGATCAGGACCTCCCGGATAGGTCCCTGGAGTTGCAGTTCTCCAAGTTGATATTGGAACCGCTCCGTCGTATCGCACTATCTGATGTCACGCTTCCTACGTTGATTATGGTGGTCGATGCTTTGGACGAATGCGATCTTGAACATGGTCCGGAACTCGGTAGAAGCCAGGACAGCAGCCGGCTAATCGTTAACATCCTTTCAAGACTGGCTACAGTACCCGGCGTCAAAGCTCGTGTATTCTTAACTAGCAGACCCGAGGTCCCCATTCGACTAGGTTTCCTCGAAGATGTGCCAACCGGATCTCATCAAGACATGGCATTGCACGACATTCCCCAACCCGTCATAGAACACGATATCCGGGCCTTCTTAGAAACTGAGCTAGAGATTATTCGTGTGTCTCATGCAATTGCCCAAGATTGGCCCGGCGACAATGTCGTGACCCAACTCGTCAATGCCTCTGTTCCACTTTTCATCTACGCCTCGACCATATGCAAGTTTATCAACGACAGAAGACGAAGATTCAGGCCCCAAGCACAATTGGACAAGGTCCTGCGGCAAGGCCAAGGGTTTCGGACTGGCATTGAAGTCACATACAGACCGATCTTAGATCAACTGTTGGAAGATCTCAATGACTTCGAACGCAAGGAGCTACTCGCACAATTTCGCAAGGTTGTGGGCGCCATCATATTGTTAGCGGATCCACTCTCAATTGCTTCCCTCGGGGAGCTCTTGTATATCGACAACGAAGAGATCCGCTACCTTTTGAATGGCCTCCACTCTGTCTTAGATGTACCAGGGGACGACCAGCCAGAGAGACCAATCAGACTTTTCCATTTGTCATTTCGAGAGTACTTGTTACAGCACTCTGGGGATGATGATACGTTCTGGATCGACGAAAGGTCCAAGCACAAGGAACTATTCGACTGCTGTTTACAAGTTATGAGTGATCGATGCGGTCATGGCTTGAGAAACGACATTTGCCGACTTAGTGACCCGGGAGCTCGAAGAACGGAAATACCTCGCGAAAGAATACAACAGCACATCCCCCGGTCTCTCGAATACGCATGTCGATACTGGGTTATGCACCTCAGAGAGTCTGGTACTGGGATAACCGTGCAGGATACTACCAGAATTTACGAGTTGCTTACACGATATCTACTTTATTGGTTCGAGGCAATGGGCTGGCTGGGTCTTCTTCAGCAAGCCGCTGTGGATTTACTCGTTCTCGAAGGCATGTTCTCGAACTTACAAAACAGCTCGCAGTCAGGAGTCCTGCCATTTTTGAAAGATGCTCGACGTTTCCTTGCTGAGAACGAACACGCTATAAGCCTCGCACCATGCCAGGTATATGTGTCCGCCTTGATCTTTGCACCTAAGGCTTCCTTGGTTAAGCAGAGATTTCAATCCGAGGATCCAGACTGGATTGTCAAGATGCCAGAAGTTCTTGAAGACTGGGACTTGTCAAGGCGAACTCTCCATCAGTACAAGCGGTATGTCCACGCTCTGGCCTGGTCCCATGACGGACAATACATTGCCACTGCCCTCCATGATGAGGTCGACATCTGGAATGCTGCTTCTGGAATCTTGTTGGAGAGGATCAGAACCACCGAGGACATTCATTGCCTCACCTCCACACATCGCGGCACGATGGCCATCGGCTTGGATTCGGGTGTTATCATTCTCTGGGATTGGTTGATGCACTCAGAAACAACACTTTCCATCGGAAATGAAGGGCATGACGTGCTTTACATATCAGCAGCAACAACCGGCAAAGTTGTTTGTGCGCTAAGTGATGGAACGATTCATCTGTTGACCGAGACATTCGATCCCATTCACACCTGGCATACGTGGTGGAACTCCCCCAGAGGTGATTTCAAGGGCAATGGGTACGACAATCCTCGTGATCGGGTTCACTTCTCAAGCAATGGGAGGTTCATAGCTCTCGTTGACAACGAGCAGTCAAATTCCGTCAGCGTCCATAACGCGGATTCAGGCAGACTCATTCAGCGTCTTTCAGCTCCAGAAGGCCAAATCTACTTTGAGCTTACAACATCAGATGGAGGCCTCCTCTTCGCAACTGTTGGTTCGTTCAAAAAGGATTACTCCATGTGGCAAGATGCTGTCATGGCGGGCCTTATTTATGATTTGAACAGTATGAAGGATGTATCATCACATGAGTCACCACTTGTCATCAATTTAACCCACTGTCGAAGACCGATAATCAACCACCTTGGTATGTTGGTATGCCCAACCAACCATTCGACCCTCGTTTGGAATGTCTCAAAGGATCCCCCAGAATTGGTCCATTCACTGGGATTAGCGTCTCCTTTTCCCCAGATGGACAGTATATTGCTGCCGGCTGTGACGCAGTGGAAATCATCTCCATCAACAACCTAGGCTTCGTCGATGACAGCCCACATCGCGCCGTTGGCAGCGATGATGACATTGATCTAGGTCACCAATCTCTGTCTCCAGATGGTTTGCGTCTGGCCGTCGTGTCATCACGCGGTAAAGTGACATTGTGGCACATTAGGGACAACGGACGAATGGGATCAGAAGGTGATGTCATTGACACGCCATGGAAAATTTCAAGTCAGAAACGGAATGATTTTGCAATTGCTTGGAGCTACAATGGGGCTTTCCTTGCGGTTGGGTCATTCGTAGGGGCTGTCGTTTACAATTGCTCAGTCACCAATCTGGCTGTTTCGCAGGCTGGAAGTTGCGAATACAAGCCTTCAGACGGCGGTGACCGACATTTAACGTTCTCACCTTGTGGCTCCTATATCGCGATGGTCGATGGAGAAAGCAACCAGCGTGTTTTCGTGTGGAACTTTCCTTCCTGCACTAGCCGTTGGTCCAAAGCGTTCCAGGATCCTGCTAATTGGTACGCCTGGACAGCGATCGAATGCAGACCCGACGGAGCGCAATTGGCTGTTTCTCACGGCCATACCGTAAGACCTATGGATTCAGATACCGGTGCTGTAGTTTGGATTAGAAGCGCTTCGTCCATGCAGGTGGATTTCTTCTTTTCGTTGGCATTCAATTCCTCCGGATCCTTGATCGCACTCAAGGCGGGATATGCCGGTGGAGAAGCTTTGGAAATTCATGATTCCTCTGGATCATTACTTGATTTTCAGCAAGGGTGCTTAGACAAATCATCTGTGTGGGACGGGGAGACACAATCTTTTAATTCCCTGCAAATCCTACCCCTATGGGAACGTCTTTTTCTCATTAACGCCTCTGACGGAAAGAAGGTTTTAACTGTGGAGCATGGGTATCAAGAGAGACCTCTAATTCCGGGACAAGTCGCCTTCATTCCTGGGGATGATGTTGTTATCAGCCCAACCGCCTGGTTTTCAACCGTTGGCGTCGCAAGGAAACAGTCACAGAATCCGGTTGCACAAAAGAGCCCATGCAATGTCATGGTCATGCAATACGAGGACAAAGAAACCTGGATAACTAAGTCTGGGCGTAGATTGATCTATTGTCCTTCGTCAGTTGCACGCGACAGCGTTCCATGGAACTGGACCCTGTTCCCTCATCGCTGGTACGGATATGATTCCAACAGAGCGGCACCATTTATGGTTGAGGTAACTTGTACGCAGTGTAGCTCATAATACGCGACTAAGGCTGAAAACCTGGGGTTGAAAACACTTGGCTGTCGATTCAAACAACTTCCATACCTAGGACTCAGCCTTGAGGTAGCGGCCATCTATCACAGTGGCTTCCATCATAGCGCGTGACCCTAATTCAGACAAATCGATGCGTCAGGATATTTTTGATCCCCGTGTGGGTGATCTGATGATTGGATAGTCTTCTATTCTCAAAGTGTTCGTGGCCTGCTTTGTGCTGCTTGCTTCATGTCTTACAGTACACGCAGAGAAGCTAAATGTTGTTAATACAAGAACTGACTGGACAGCATGTTGTATACATCGCCTGCTGAACCAGTCCCAAATGCTTGATACATTAGAGTGTCATTCATACCAGTCATGTCGTCCCCAAAAGTCACAAGGTCTGACATTGAATCCTGATGAGGTTCAGTGTATAATGCCGAGTCCCAGTTCCGTGCTGCGTCCCGAGTCCTCAAGTTCGGTGGACTCAGCAGATTCCTTTCAGGATCTTTCATCCCTTCGTCAATGCATCCGGCTGCCCCAACACCATAGGAAGAGGCAAGGTGCCAGTCATACGATTCCACACCAGTATTGCCAGCCGTGGTCTCGTTCTCGCCTTCCTTTCGTATCCTTCGAGGCATTCGAGCCGTTCTCATACGTTGCAGCATCTTCTCTAGTCCTTGTCCTATATGCTTCAGCATGTGCTTTTCTGAAGTCACTGCCTCTTTCAACACAGTTACCATCTTATCCAGGAGGCGAGATACATTAGCATAATCGATGTTGAGTCCCATAATGCTGCCCCACTTAGCAGCTACCTTCATCAGGAAGACACTCGCGAAGGTAATCATGGTGTGGACGTATAGAGGCGTTCCGACTAGGGCCCTTCTCAAGTCTTCCTCTTCCTGAACCAGTGTCAAAATGCTCGAGGCAGCTGAGATTGCCATATTGGCGAACTCTTTGCGCTCCGTCGACAACTTGTCGGAGTTGATCGATACACCGCGGATCGCGAGGGAGTTGATCTGAAGCTTGGCGAAGTATGAGTAGAGAATCACTCCCTTGTTTGTGAACTGTCCGATGAAAGGGCTGGGTGGTTGTCGAGGGTACCATCGCATACGCCAGTGATCAACTTCGACGTTGAAGCTTCGGAGGGTGTCGAAGTCGGATTCAGCAAGCATTGCCGCAGAGATCTTCGGTGGCCCTTTAACTCCTGATGGCTCATTGGCCTTGGTCGCTTTCCCGTTGGCTGCACAAGCCCTTTCGATGATCGGAAGAGGACGTTCAGAGAATCGTTCGTAGACACGGGTCAAAATCTGCATCAGGTTGACTTGACTCAGGATCCGGATGTCGAGCACACCAGAGAAGGGGCTGGCTAGGAACAGTTCATACTCCCGTAATTGAACACTTTCCGCGACAGTAGGAGGTCGACCATAAGCAATACTAAAGTGACGGTCGCAAACGTAAAGCATATACCAGAGCCTTGCCCTCAGAAAGTGTTCCTTGTCGCCCTCGAGTGCGTGTATGAAAGATTGGTGGATGCCGAGCTCAGTTGCAATACGTATAGCATGGCCTGTCAGCTTCCACGAGTGCTCTGATAGCCAGAACGCTGATATGCATAAGCCGCGAACATCATCGACCGAGTGATAGCGAGAAAACATGGAGGATGACACAAGCGAGAGGAATTCGTTGTAGCAGACGTCGAAGATGTCAGACGATGTTGGTATGTGCAGCGCAGTGACTGTCAGGATGGTGGCTGCCAGGAGTTCGGACGACTTGCGCACCGATGTCCATGATGGATGAACCTGTTCGAGGCCAACCCAGAGGTAGTGATTCAGAGTCTTGAGGAAGCTGCAACGAAAATTGGTCAGCGAGTTGCCTCCTAGTAGTGACCGCAAAAGTAATCCCGGATGGCGACTGAGGAAGAGGGGCAAGGCACTTCTTACATGTTGTACAACTCCTCGGCCTTCTCTTCAGATATAGCTCCGCGGGATATGAAATCATCCAACTTGCTATCGTCGGCTGGTATTGGTTGCGGCGTGTTTGCTTGGTTACTTCGGACATTCCTAAGTCGTGTCACCTCGTAGAGGCTACCCATCGGTTCTTCCAATGTCTCAGGGCCGTACTGTTGATCGTCATCAGAAACTGGGTTGGGCGAATCCTCACGGGTCATGGCCAATCGCGTGTTGGCATCCCGCCCCCCTATTCCCCGCGCGGAGCCATCCCGCGCGGACAACGATTTGGGCGGACTCGAAATGTTCGGCGTCGCCCCAACATGTAATGCATACTGATTGTCGGGTTTCTCTGTATTGTCTGGTTGTTTCCTGAGCTGGTGATTCTCAGTGGAATTGTGATTTTGTCCTCTGCCCAGTACAGCATCCAATGAATGCCTCATTTGCTGGATTTCCTCTCGCATCGCATCGATCTTTTCTCTTTGGGTTGTTAGTATTGGAGTACACACGATGCTTTTCCCTTGATAGCTCACTCGTAATTTGGCGAGCTCTGAGCTCGTGACTCCTCCGAGTCGGCCTGGGCTATGTATGTTCTTTTGATGATGCAGTCAACCTTTCGTCGAAGACAATGCCTGCATTTTCTATCGCCAGGGAATATTTCGCATTTCATCTTCAACTTCTTGCATTCGAGGCCTAACGTGATGATTAGCGTCATCACTCGGTGTTTTTGGATAGGCGTACTTACACGCCTTGGGCTTTCTTCCAGGGCCAGAACCCACTCTACGTCCCTGAGCCAACTTGACAGCTTCGGGGCTTGGCTCATTTACTGCCTCATTGTCGCTAGGGCTAGAATTCGACGCTTGTCGTGGAACTCTTGATTTTCCGTGATTCTCCGTCGATGCCGTTGAGTTCATTTTCGTTGCTTTCGTGATCATTGTCAATCAAGGCGTCTCACGGCAGCTCAACAATCAGTGGGAAATCGGGAAATCGCCCGAGCTTTTTAATAGTCCAGATGAACGCCACGGTCTTAGCTATCTACGCTATCTGACTAATTGCCTAGGCCTACAGCAACTTAGTATACGTATGTGGAATGGGGATCGTGTTGGGGATCGGGGAGCTTGCCCTGTGCTGAGGCCGCATGGTTTCAGATTTCCAAGCGATCTTTACATCAAGACGACTGGAGTATACAGCTCTGCGCCCGCTCGTGACGCTTTGTGCACGAGGACCTTTGCCCTAGGCGAGCGGTGTTTACCGTACAGGCGGAGGTCGTAGTGGGCTTGGCGATCTCCTACACTCGTTCTCGCTAGAGTCTATGTGGCCCTGGCCAATCGGAGGTCTTGCCTGTAATGTAAAAAGTGTTATTTTCATCAGTCGGCAGCGATAGTTCGGCCGAGGCTTGGCCAGTGCTGGCGTACATGGCAAACGTAAGGTCTTTTTGCCTCGTGAAGTGGGCGGTGTTCCCCAGTCAGAGTCCACAAGAGGCAGATCCGGCATGCCGATTGGGTTCGGGATGATCCCCAATTCGAGCGGCTCAGCAAGTTCCTCGGTGTGACTCAATCTTGCTCCATATTAGAAATCTTTCTGTGTTCTGCCAGAGCTCCAATAGAGCAGTTATGTGGAATTGTTGCCGCTACAATGCAGACTTGGGCGCGAGGTGCGATTGACTCTGTGCAATCGGAGACAAGATCCCAAAAGTTCCACGATAAAGTTGCGGTAGCACGTCTCTCCTCAGTAGGTATGATAGAGGCAATCTGCAGAATGACAATCTTCATCTCTTTCGAGTCTACAATTTGTGTATCCTGTACAATGGTTTTGAAAGATGTGCGGGTTGGTGATGGTGTTGACTCTGATTCATCGTAGTATTTTCCCGATTTTCCGCCCGATATTCCGGAACATGATGGTGGCGTTCTATGACCACAGACATTGTGACCCGCGACTAATCGAGACATGTCTGTGGCACATACCCATCACGACTGATCGCGGTCTCTGAGAGAAGCCTGGAATCAACAGCAATCATTTATGGCGCCTTATGGAATTGTTGTAGAATTTGTAAGGCGGGGTTTTAATCACCTTTGCATAGCAGCAAAATTTGGGATGAACCCTAAACCTGGGTATCGTCTATAACGACCACGACCTTTCCCGCCGAGGCTCCAGATTCTGACAACTCATAAACTTGACGCAAACTCTGTAGCCCATGGAAAACGGTTGTCTCAACTTCCACGTCTTGTTCAACAACAAACCTCACTAGATCAGCAAGCTCTGATCGACTGGAGAGATTAGACCCCATCACCCTGATGTCTCTAAATATCATCTCTTCAAACGGAAAGTTGACTCGCTTGGGCTGCGCCACTTCAACCACTAGGCCGTGCCCTTTTGTAATGATCATGCCCGTCTCAAGAGCCGGCTCGGCATCGCTAAGCACAATTGTTGCATCACACAAGTCGTCGCCCTTACCGGCACCCCGTGACCCTATCAGACTTCGAACTTGCTGCACCATCACGTCTTTCCCAGGTCCGACGTCCACGGCCGAGGCACCAGCCTTTCTTGTCAATTCCAAAGCAATATCTCGTGCTTCAATGCCCACGACGTTGATGCCCTGCTTCTTCGCAATCTGAATTGCAAGATGGCCCAGACCACCTCCGCTGCCAACGATCCCGAGCCATCCCCCTGGCTTGACTGCTGCTCTCTTTACAGCGCGCCAGCTAGTGCACCCGGCACAGGTTAGCGGAGCCGCCTTGATGAAGCTCAACTCATCCGGTATTTTGACGGCAAAGCGGTCGTCTAGCACGGTGTATTCTGCAAAGGCTCCAGGTGAAGAGATGCCGGCGTAGCCTTTGTTGAACTTGCAGCTCAGTTGGAACTCTTCTGGACCATTGCAGTCCATGCAATTGCCGCAGGGACCCCGAATTCCAATGGCAATGATCCGGTCACCGACGGCAAAGCTCTTGGCGGCCTCCCGGCCTAGGGCAACGATCGTGCCAGATGGCTCGTGGGATCCTGGGAGGCCGCTCGGCTTGTCGTGGAAGACGCCATTTAATACCATTATGTCGGTATGGCAGAACGATGCGACCGCGACTTTGATGAGGATATCATGGTCATCGAGGGATTCGGCGTTGGGAGCGGGAACATCTTCTATCGACCACGGAACACCAAACTTTAAATAAGGTCAGCAAGTAAAACTTCTACAATCGTAGAGGGCATTTCGGAGCTTATTACTCGTTTGACCACGGCAGCTTTCATCATGTTATCAATGGGAGCTGTACTCTTGACGGCGTAAGGCATTTGTTGAAGTTTGTTATTGCCAGGGCTGATACGAAGCTTCAAAGTAAATTGTCTTGCCTTTAGATATTCTTGATCTGTGGCATCGGATGATGTCTTTCGGCAACTGTAAGCGCATGCGACTTGGGCTTGGCTGCAGGCATCGGCCCAACAGGTGACGTCGCCGGTGCCGACCCATTAGCATTAATAATGTTCTGGATTCACGGCGATTAGCCACAAGACTTTCACAATTTGCATGCTCGCTAGCATTTTGCTTTCCCGGCGTGGGCGACAACCTGTCGAGTAAGCAAAGCCCGTACCGTCTGAGTCGGGGATAGTGCCGAGGGTTACTTGGTTACACAGGCCTCTCGGCCGATAGCCCGGCCGAGAGGTTTTGTTGTCTAATTGGTGAACCCCCTCGTTGATGATCGGTCGTAATCTCCATGAAGCCCGAGCCAATCACCTTTGTTCAATTGCGAGCCGGCCAATCGCCAATAAGCTTCTTAAATCCGAATGCGATCAAGTGTCTTCCGGCTTGTCCCACGAAGACCTGGCCGTCACCATTCACTCTTTGAACCTTGCTTTTCAACATACCAGCTTCGAAGTGCTTGGCCTATTTGAGTGCTACTCCGACTCATCTCTGAGTCACGTACGTACTGCATCTCCTGAAAAATCCTAGGAGCGTTGATTTGTCATGGTGGACGAGACCCGCGTGCGGGGCGGTCCGAAGCCCAAGTCGCGGGCAATTGTCCGAGTGAAGACGGGTTGCAAAACCTGCAGGTGAACCCTGCCTAGCCATCCTCTTTACAGCTGTTACCAGGATTCCTAACGTAGAGCAGAGCCCGCAAGATCAAATGCGACGAAACGAAGCCTGCCTGTCGAAAATGTATCCTCACTGGCAGAACCTGCGATGGATACGGGATCTGGGACCGGGGAAACCGGACAAGATCCACAGCACCAGGCCTATCCATCTCCATCTACAACACCCAGACTGGAGCCATCAGCCAGCTATCGGACTTTGAAAAGAGACAATTCGAGTGGTTTATGAGACGGACCACAATCAAATTGACCGGGGTTTTCCACTCCGGCTTTTGGCACAGTCTCGTCTTGCAGATGAGCTCAACCGAGCCGGCCGTGTTGCATGCCATGCTGGCGCTAGCGTCCGCGCACGAGATTGAGCTCAATGGCTCCAAGGCCGATGAACATAGGCCTCTAGACCAAGGCGTTCGAGAATGCAACATCCTACGCCATTACAACAAGTCCATTGCCTTGTTGAACACAAACCTGTCTTCGCAAAATCCGACGTCTATCCGCGTCGCCATCGCGTCTTGCATACTTTTCGTCTGTGTAGAGTTTGTGCGGCGACGGTTCGAGACTGGGTATGCCCATCTCAGAAGCGGACTCAAGTTACTTGAACAACTCCCACGTCCGTCGAAGGATGCCGACTCCGAGGTTTGCCCCCCACCAGATGCCCTAGTCGAAGCGCTCCTGCGCCTCGATGTCCAAACAAGGCTCGTCAAGACCGCCGCGCTACAGAACGCGAAGCTTTCTGCACAGATACCAAGCCTAGATATCACAGTCTTGACTTCTTTCGTTTCACTTGACGGGGCGAGACAGCAGCTGGACACCATTCTCTCAGCCGTCTACGAACTACAGGAGCGAGCTCGGCGCCAAACCCCGGAAGACAACGTTTCGCACGCTTTTGAGCTCCTCAGTGCCCAGCAGCGACTGAAAAATGACCTCAGCGTCTGGCTCCAGACATTTAATCGCGTCAAAGGCAGCTGGTGGACGAATTTATCATCCAAAGAAAAGGTTGCCTACCACCTGATCCCGATTTACCACACCATGGCCCAGATCATTGTTGATACGACTCTTCAGCCAGCAAACGAGTCGATATATGACAAACATCTCCGACAATTTGAGTCCATTATCAGCCTTTCGCAAAGCCTACTGACCTTCGCTCTGCCAATGATGGTTGAAGAGATGGCATACGGACTCCATCCTGGTTTCAATTTCACGGCCGATATGGGCGTCATCCCTCCCCTCTACTTCGTTGGCCTGAAATGCAGAAACCCTTACATCAGGCGCCAGGCTATCAGGGTTCTGGCGACAGATGAACATCAGGAGGGAATATGGGACGCGCCAATGGCTGCTGCAATTGCTTCAGAAGTCATGCGGCTGGAAGAAGCCAACTTCTACGACGATCTCTTTTTCAAGAGCTGTGACGCCGCCTCGACAGCGCCAAAGAAGTGCAAGAGCGGGACACCCGTGCCACCAATCCTGCCAGAAAATTGCAGAGTTCGTGACATTCAGGTACACTTGCCAGACGGGGCTGCCGATGATTTAGTAATGAGCGGCAAGTCCATGCGCTCCAACGGCAGTCTCGAGTCTTTCACAAGACGTTTCAACGTGAAGGATAAGATTTGGCAGTCTGGATTTGGGTGGCCTACTTCAGCATCTTCACAACTGTCCCCTTCTTCTGATTCTTCGAAGGCGTCATACAGTCTTGATATTGGCCTTGATTTCTTTTAATGATTTTCGAAACATCTTTAAAACACTTCATGTTCTCTTTGGGCGTATGGCGCAAGAGTCGTTGTCTATCAAATAGGCGTACGTACTATTTATCCGTGAGGATATTACAACATACCCAGCCGCTTCAAGGCGCAATACCTCTAAGCTCTGCTTCCGTCCAATCCCACAACTTTCTTGCGAGCTCCTCGTCTTTTAAAAGTGCGCTGCCTTTCCCTGGAACACCAACAGGTACATAGTACTCCCCATTCAGAACGCCATCTGCGGTGGCGGCCCACAACTGGTTCTTCGCCCCTTCTTCTACACTAACTCCGATCAGAGGCACCACAACTGCCTGGAACGCCTTGATCAGAAATGGCCCACTCTCTGAACGTTGCAGATCCGTCTTGACGGTTCCTGGATGGATCGAGACACTAGTCCACTCGGGGCATCGGCGAGCCATCTCACGCGCGAACAGCAGGTTCGCAAGTTTACTTTGGCCATAGAGAGCGTTGGGAGAGAGTCCGGTGTTACCTGTCTTTGGCTTGAAGCTATCGAACTGCAGCCCTCCCGACGGACCAAACTTGTGCGCCACAGAGCTGACCAGGACAACTCGGACCTCGCTGCTCAGTGCAGTTTGGCGCAATAGGGGAGTCAGAAGCTTGACGAGGAGGGCATGGCCGACGTGATTGGTACCGAAGTGCATCTCGTATCCTTCCTTGGTCACACTGCCGACAGGCACATTCATGACGCCGGCGTTCAAGAGGAGGATGTCGAGACGAGTGGCGGATGCCAAGAAGATGCGAGCGGCCTCTCGGATAGATGAGAAGGAAGTCAAGTCGAGTGGAAGAAATTTGACGGACACAGAAGGATCCAGTCGCTTGATTTCATCGATGACGGCTTCGGCTCTTGACGCACTACGGGCTGCAAGCCATATTTCTGTGGGTTGGTGTCTCGCTAGGTCCAAAGCAGATTGTCTTCCTAGGCCGTTGCTGCCACCAGTGATGAGAATTGACTTTCCCTTCAAAGACTCGATGTCCTTTTCCGGTGACCATGTGGTGTTGCTGTGCGGCATTCTGCAGAGACTGTTTGGCAAGACTTTGAAGTTGATCGAGAGGAGAGTGATGCAAATTGAAGTATGTGCTACAGGAGACTTCTAAGTGACGGCAGGTTGACCGATACATATATCAGTAAACTGCGTGCTGTGTATAGACTTCATTGTCCATTATTCTACAGAACCCGAATACGGATTACCTGTCTTGCTTAACCCCGGTAGCAGGTGGGCGGAGACCATTGAAGTCAAAACTAGTCTCCCTACAGCCAATCACGGAACAGCAATTACGAGCGGACTATGAAAGCCACGCACAGACAGCCACGATGGCGGACTTCGGCTGTGACAGCAATGTCCGCCAGTGGATATCATAGGTCAGATCATGGAGGACGAACGCACTGTCTGTTGAATTATTTCAATTCGTTTGATGCTAATCTCTGTGGTATAATGCTCGCTCAATAATCCGGAAACAGAAGGAAAACTCTAGTAGGTATCATTCTTCGTCTTCGTAATTCAACATGCATGTGACCAGCACATGAAGATGCAAGAAAGGTATGTCATGTCCGTCAAAATCGTGTTCGCATAGTATGTGTTGTTGTCGCTGCGTCAAAGATCAAGCTGCCGGCTTTACCAGATAGTGGCCACAGCAGCCAGAATCGCAGACCAAAAAAGCATTCTTGTCGGAGACAGAGAGCTGGCGAAATTGCCTTTCTGGCCCTCTTCAAAGCCTCGCTCATCTCCACCCAGGTAATAGGCTCCAAGCTCGGTGAGGCCACCGTCGTCGTCGAAGAGCGAAACCTTGTTGCCAGTCCAGGCGTTGGCTTCGTCCTTGCGGAAGGCACCAAACCACGCATAACCATCGACGTAGTCAGCGTCGTCGAGGAACGACAGACTCTGGTTCATCATGGCAAAAGTTGCATCGGTGTCTTGCTGTGGCAACGCCATTTCGGTGATCCAGTACTTCAAATCCGGCGAGGTCTCGTTGTAGAAGTCGCGCAGCGACCCGAGCCAGTTCTGAAGACCGGCATAATCACCGTACCAATGCACAGCGATGAAGTCGGTCGGGCAGCCATTGTCGTCAATGTCGTAACACGACTCGTTGAACTTGCGCAGCCACTCGAGACCTTGCGGAGAGCCGGTCACGACGGGGTGACTGATGTTCCACTTGCGGGAGTCCGAGTCGCGGAGCGGGAGGATGTGCTCAATGTAGGCTTTGGCGGCATCTTCGGGATCGATGCTGCTGCCGCCTGATCCGGTGGTGCCGTCTGGCTCGTTGAAGGTGAGGAGGTGGGTGGACGATGAGGGGAGGTTGTTGAGTCTTGCTGTGAGTGACGAGTCCTCGGCTTCATCGACACCGTGGATGAGGGGTACAAATGGAATTGAGTTGTTCAGGTTGGTGGCTGGCCATGTTGACCAAGTGTAGTACCAGCTGATCAATGACTTCTCTGAAGTCAGAAGTTGGTTGTCGGATGCGTGGTCGTCGCCCTTGTATGCGAGACCTCGTTTTGATGATAGGTCTGACTGTGCAAGTGCTGATGAAGCAGCTAGCGAAACTAGCAGAGTCTGTGTCGTTCGTCTCATTTTTTCCTTAGTGGTTCGTCAATTGCTGGATCTCGCAGATGGTGGTTGCGGGGGATGATCCTTGTGTGATTAAGGTAGGTACACACACGGGATCGGATGCAGCCGACAGAAGTCTGGGACCCTTCATGCAGATATAGTCAATTATTTCCAAAACTACAGAAACACCATCAAGGCCAGCGCAGGCCAAAATTCCAAGGCCATTGCTTTGCAGGCGCTTCAGTCATTGACCTCATTCGATGCCATCACACTCTTGGCGGGGGCGTGAGAAACATGACGTCATGCTCCCTTGGCCGGAGGAGTTCTTGGTTGGTGATGAGTTGGCCAAGGTTAACCCCCTGGTCAGCCAGACCGCAAGACCCCTAACGCCGACAGGAGATTGGGCGAACAGGGGTTCAAGCGAAAGTCGTCATGGCGGTTCGGGAATCCAGACTCATGTCTGGCAAGTGGTGCCACCCTGCGTTGTTCATGTTGGTTCATCAGGCTAGCCGTCTGCCAAGTCGGGACTTGCTGAGAACTTGCGAACGACCCCGGCTCTATCATTTGGACATCTGAGTCATCCTTTGGAAATGTGTCGGAGTTCATCATTGTGTTTTCCCAGGAACAGCGCAGCATGACCTTCCAAGGCAATCAGGTTGCCAAGATAACGTACGTTGACATTTTTCGACTTTCTCCATCCGTTAGAAGAATAGGCAGACGGTCTCTTCTTACTCTAATCAATTCAACCGTCCGGCGAATGAGGCCCAGTCCTCCGATTTGAAGGCCCTTGCGGACTGTTCAGACCCGGGATAAGTGGGTCTCAACGACGGTCTAGCTCCGATAGCCCCGGCGTGCTGCCACACGGCAGATATTATTGTCGTGCCCGATTAAAAATGGACGTATTCACATTTATAAAAACATTGGCTGAACTCAGCTGTCGCCAGCTTGCGCCAGCTGTTCATATTAAGACAGGCGTGAATCTGATTCCTCGTAGCGCTGTTGATTGGTCCGCGAAGCGACCATCATAAACCGAATGGCCGGTGCGCTCCGAAAACAAATCCTCCGCATCGTCAACAACACATGAGACTACCTTGAATAAAGCAACCCTCAAAGATATACTGGCAAGATGGAAAAGCCTAACAACGGCGGCCGCTTGCGAGTTACCGAGCTGCCTGCAGAGATTTTGAGAATTATTTTGTCTCACTCAGCCGATATTGGCAGTCTGGATTCAACAGTCCACTCCTGCGGCACCTTGTTTCACGCGTTTTACGCCTTCCCAGCGCCCATCGTCACAGCGATTGTCCAGAGAGAGATCGGGAAGGACTTGCTCTTTGAAGCTGCGCGCTTCACAAGAGCCTTAGATCTCTTGCGGTCTCAGGATCAACCGTGGTGGTAGCCAACGTCTCATTCGCCGAGTTCCTACGTCAGGACCAAGAAACACCGCATCATTTCCGCTGGACTCTGCATGAGGCCTACTCTGTAATCCAAATGCATGAGATCGTGAAGTCTTTATCATTGAGGATCCAATCAGAGATATTCGCACGTATTCAATCCATCCACCCCCACGTGGAGATAAAGCCCGCCTCCAGCACAGAGCTCCTCCGCTGTCAGCGGGCGCTGTATCGATTTGAGATCTATCGAATCTTGTTTCCTCAGCATCAGGATCTTGAACGCGATTACCCAGACGATGTGGACGATCTAGATGGTGGGATGATGGCGCAAATGCAGTTCCTTGCTGGCAGCCCTCCATGGGAGAATGAACAGCTTGGCTGTATTTACGAGTCACTTTGGCGCCTTATTGCCCAAGGTAGGCTTGAGCCCCATTGAAACTAAAGTTCTCGATTTGAAGTTCATAGGTGGAACCCTATGTTCGACACAGCCCCATTCGTTACATTGTTGCTGACCAAGGTACTATCTATGAATAGTGTATAACGACCTGGCTCTACACAGCACAAAAGGCTGTCGCACTGCTCTTTACTATGGGGACGCACGCATTGAATATCTGCTAGCACGAGGGCTAAAAGAGATAAATGAGATTTCACTTTGCAATACCTGGACGGAACGATATGATCTACTTGGATTTGACCGACCTGACGAACCTGTCTGCGACTTCGGCGGCTTCTTACGCGAAACATTCGAATACTACGAAGGCCACTGTTTGATCGAGTGCTCTCAAATGACGGGGGCCCATAAAGGCACTCACTATCCAGTCGGCCGGGATACAACTGAAGACGGGCCACGTAGGACCTGGGACTGGGTGACCCAAAGATGGTCAGGGCAACCCAACTTTGAAGCTCGCAAGCGAATCGTCCTGGTAATGGAGACAGCTCGTCTCAGAGCCTGCGGCTACGTCTTTTGGGATGAAGAACGAATGGTTGAGCTTGGTTGGATGAATCCCACATCAATGGACTGGCACAGCGACGCGCTCAGAGTCATTGACAACCCACCAACATAGCATGAGTTTCGACGAGGTTGATTTGGGGGAAGTTCTGCCAGCACCTTTTGACAAAGGGCTCCGTGGGCACTAGAGCGATGGAGTAGGCCATATGAATCCCATGTGGGGGAAGAGGGATGCATGGCTAAGACCGTGGTTGAAAGCAGAAGAACCTCAAACCATCATTATTCAAGGGCAACAGGGATTTCCATGCGCAAATGCGGCTCACAGTCTTATCTGCCTCCCTTGGGTAGAGTGGTACCGAAACGGGTCAGCTGGAGGAGGGTCAAGAGATGTTCACCCAAATAGGTCCATCGGTATGGTTCAATCTTTCGCGTCTTTGACATTAACGCGAAGAATTGACATGGACAACTCGCATGCGACCCAGTTCCTTATGCTTACTTGGTTACTTGATTCGCGTTGACAGGGTTAGGCGCGCGCCTTCGATCCTTCTATCCATTCTTGTTGGCCTTAGCCCATCCGACGCCCGCGTCTAAGTCGCACTGAAGTTCCGTCAGCACACACTGTCGCACCTTCTGAGAGACTGTTGGGGGCTAGACGGCGTACAAAGTGAATCAACACTGTCCTCGACATCGAGCATCCATGTCGGTTTCGCTCATATGGCCCGCCCAGGAATCAATGTTACTCTCTTCTGAGCTGCCTAATAATGCGGAGTGCTCCTCCCTGTACGGCATCAGGGGATAACGGCCCTAAAAAGGTCGTGCTGGGCTCCGCAAAGAGCTCGGGAAATAAGAGCTCGCCTATTCAATTGCCGCCTCCCGTCGCCAAGCGAGCGTTCCTGTCGATCAGACCCTATCGTGCACTGCGATTAAATCTCGGCAGTGGCAGGCAACACTCATGAAGCCACATACAAACATCCCAAAGTCCCTTATTCTGACTGCCTGAAAACACAGCTAAAGGTTTCCCTGCATAGCCCCCACGACGGTGGAGCAAGCTGACATGTTTTACGCCTTTAAAATTAGGTTATGGGGCCCCTTGATGCTTACGGGTTGCATTGATGGCCGCTCCCAAAGGCAGTGCCATCCCCCTCAATAAAGTAGCCGTGGTTTGATTTTAGACTTTGACATGGGTGCTCTAGGCGCCTAGAATCTAAGTTGAGGATCCTTCGCCAGGCACAGAACCAAATATTCTACCAAAGTCCCTGTTCTTTACCAAAGAGGCTCGATCCTTCGACGTTCGATCCACATCAGCCCCCAAAATTCATCTCGACATTAATTAATCTGCTAGGCATCGCGATTATGGCCGACAGCCTTACCGGGTTCGAGACTCAAGCAGCCATTGTGATCTCACCACCAAAGTCCCCTCCACGTCAATGTTGTTCAAGTTAAATAAGATCCAATGTTGCCACTCCTCATCCTTAACTCTCACAGATCAACACAGCCTCAAGCTCCAGCAACCATCACATTCTTTCTCAGGACCATAATCCTTGCTTTCCCTCTTTCATCAGCCTGATACGCCACAGATCAGTCCTCGATCATGAAGACTTCTGCCACTCTTTTGGCCATTGTGGCCGCTTCCAATGCCTCGCCGCTTGGCGTGTCCGTCAAGCGGGACGCCTTTGATAGCAAGGATGCCATGTGCAAAGGATGGGATCTCACAACCCCCGAGGGCGCCGACAAGCTTTGGGAAGATACCTACTCTGGAGCATCGCTTGACCTCTTCATCAAGACTCAGTGGGGTAAGTAAGCAGCTCTCTATCTTGATATGAACCATCATGTTAATCGATGCGTAATGAACAGAACACGAGAACTCTTGGGTGAAGAACCTCGAAGACTTCGTCTCAGGTGGCACATCGGGCAAGTCTGGTGCCGCCGGCTGCTCGGCTCTTGGAAACGAGTGTAAGCCCTTGAACGACATGACATGCGATGACCAATACGACGCATACGGCAAGACCCCTATTGGCAAGAACTCCTACTGGATCTTCCAAGCGGTCAAGGGCATGCATGCCAAGTTCAACGAGCTGAACCGACAGCTCACTAAGGAGACTCTCATCAGCGGTCTGCAGATCGGCCAGATGGTGACCGACTTCCAAGGAAACCAGGATGACCCTGGCGACGTGCTTGGATGGCTTTCTGCCGCTGCTTCCATGGGTGGTGCGATTGGAGGTCTGGTTCCTGGAGCTGTAAGTTTGCCAATTTCTGATGAGCCTGTGAGATTTTCAGTACCCTTGCTAACACATTGCCACAACAGGGAACTGCCATTGCAGGTGGCTTCGGTATGCTCAGCGGCATCTTCTCTGGCCTCGCCTCCTCCAACAGCGCCGACGAGATCGACCAAGGCTCAATCTCCGCTGCCCTAGCCGACGCCTTCAAGGCAGCCACGGGTGCCCTCGAGAACACCCTCCGCATCGCCACCGGTGGCGGCACCAGCCAGGCCGAGTACGACTCGCTCCCGGCCCCTAAGTGGGACACGTTCCAGAGCAAGATCACAAAGTTCTACAACGGCGGCTGGTTCCTCGTCGACGACGACGAGCAGGCCGTCACCGTCGCCCTCCAGTCCATCAGCAACAACATCAAGCCAAAGGTCGCCAATGACGTCATGAGTGCCGCAAAGCTCCACCTCGTCGCCGACAGGCGCGATAACGTCAAGTCGCGTGAGGACTGCGGCTATGCTCCGGGACGCCAGTGGATGGCCCTCCGGGATGGTGAGGAGTACTGCTTCTACATCATGCGCAACAGCCCCAACCCGAACCGTGACAACGACTGGGTTGAGGTCGAGGCCGAGATTTACGACAAGATGGCTTCGTACGGACTTGGCAACCGTGACCCGTACTACCGCGCCATCATTGACTGCGCGCTCAACGGTGGAGATGACAAGGATAAGGTTGACCTGAGCAACTTGGCTTGGGGCAAGGTTCCTACGTGCTACTTCAATCTGCCAGCAGTGTTCATCGACAAGGATACCAAGGTTGGCTGCGGCAGCCCCTTTGACAACCAGAACTGCAACTACATCGCTGCCACCCCAATCTCTTAGATCATCATAGCGATAGGAATCGCGTTTCTTCTTCTCACATACCATTGTTTCTTTCTGTTGGATAGGCGCTTCAATTCTGTAAATACCTTACCATATTTCAGTCCGATAACTGTTCAATAATGAAAGTCAAGCTAAGCAATACCCACAAATCAATTACAAAAGCTACCTCGGTTCATCTGTGATTCGTGCTGTGCTTTTCCATCAACACAAATGTGTCTGCGAGGTGTTGGTCTGTCTCAAGCGCGGTCCTAAGAAGGTGTACGTGCTCGTACGACTCAACCAGCTTGCTTAACTCACCTTGGGTATCACACGAGTGGGTATAAAGCAAATTAGACAGAGAAAGGTGAGCAGCTCGGAGATTCAAATTCATCTGACCCATATGGTGACCTCCCGGTCTGCGTCAAATCACGAGTTGCACCTGCTCATGAACATTTATGGTCGCCCGCTGTGGTCAGGTTTGACTCAGATAGATGTCGCGTAATCAAATAAATAGTTTGATGTACAAAGCTTCCGGCGGTACCTACGCAAACGCCTTTCTATGACTCTCTGCGGCTAGAGCCCTTTTGTCGCCCGACAGGTAGCATCTTTGGATGCGCTTCTGATGCCCTTTGTGCCCCTGAAGACTGTCATACCCAATGAAATCATGTGCCGTTTTCTGCCTGGCATCTCCAGCCCTAGTAACAAGTCAAGTCAGAGTTATGCGTCAAATAAGTGATGGATAAAGGCCATCAACTTACGCCTTCCATGTCCGACTGGCCTCGTCTAAGCGTTCAGCCGCCCCATCGTGCCACTCATGACTTTCCGGAGGATTGCCACGAAAGTCTGGGTTACCGCGCTTCTTTTCCATCCTGCCTTGCGGGTTGGCTGTCGCCTATATAACTTGACGTCGTTGTCCAGGCGCTCGGCTCGTTTGTCGAGAGCCTTCCCATGCTCATCCTGTACATTGAATGGTGCCGTTGGGGGCATCTTCTGCCCGTTCAAGGCCCCATCTGTTCTCAAGTGCTGCGTATTGTTGCGATAGAAGTCGTTGTGGCGTGAAGAGCCTTTGTCGTTCCACATGGGTGCCGAACCGGTATGGGTGACCGGAGCTACAGCAATGGAGCTCGCTGGGGGGAATCCTCCAGGCTGCTGAGCCTTGGAAGGGTTTCCGCCAGGACCCCAGGTGGGATGCTTCTGTTTGGAGCTTGAGGAACCCATCTTGTTCGAAGTAAAGGTATGGAAAGGCAATGGAGATTGTAGATCAAAAAAGACAAAGATGGTTGATGTGTTTGTTATCCAAGTGATCCATTTGAACCCGGATATTGGGGCTTTTTCTACTTTGACCATCGTTGCGCATTCAGTCTACTCTTCAAATGACCCAACACTCCATGTATCATCTTTCCATTGTTGGTTTGGTCGTAGTCCAGGCAAGCGCCGGTTTCCAAATGGTTCGCCGGCCGGGATTGGAGGCCACCCGGCCGTTTGGAAGCCGCCGCCACAACATTGTGCTGGCTGTGCCTTTGGCAAGAAAGACGCGCTGACTGAATTGCAGGCATTGTTTACATATATCATACCCTGACAAACCTTGCGGAAGTCGGCTAAGCGCGCGGGGAAAGTTGTCACGTTGGATGCTGATCATGCAGATAGATTGACATGGGTACTGGGTACTGTTGCAACGCGCGCGTACTGTGAGGCGCAGTCCACATGTCGTTGGTTGGGTCAGCGGCATCGAGGCCAAATAGCCGCCAGCGGAAGATAATCCACAACAGAGAAAGCCTGCTAATTGCATGTACCCAGCGAAGTTAAAATCAGAAGGCTGTCAGCTTCACGATTCCAACACTAACAACCAGCAACAATCCGCGTTTTGGCTAGCCACTCATCGCAATGGCGGACTTTGGCGGATCGCACAACCCGGCTGACCTGTCATCTCTTCCGCAAGAACTGTTGAGATTGATTTTGTCGCATTCATCCGATATTCACAGCCTTTTACATACCGTTGCGTCTTGTCGCGCATTCTATGGCGCATTTCACTCGTTTCCAAGTCCCTTGATTGACTCCGTCTTGCACCGAGAGCTAGATGGGTCCTTACTCCCCGAGATCATTCGAGCTACCCGAGCACGTCGACTTTGCAACTCAAGCCTTTCGAAGCAGGAATTGTCAGAAGCTAGGAAGAAACTTCTTCAGCGCGAGCCAGAGAAATCCCTGGATTGGGCAGTCCCAGAAGGAATTGCCGCCATACAGCTAGGCAACAGCGTCGCAGACCTTTCGCTTGCGATTTGTAGGGAATACTTGAATAATCTCGAGTCTCACATTGGCAATGGACACGAATGGCCACTTTCCGACGATGAGTTACGTCGCATCCAACAGTCTCTGTTTCGATTCGAAACTTACTGCAACACCTTTCCACCTCTAGGTGAACACCTTTGGCCAAATGACGACGTTCGAGAAGAATGGACCACCTTTTTCGACATCTACCAGCCCTGGGAAATTGAGCAACTCGGAAGTGTCCATGAGGCGCTCTTCCGCCTTCTTGCACCTGGTACGTGGTCGCTGATTTTACATCCGGATTCTCCGGAATTTTGAGGAGTACCTTATATTAACATAGATTACAGTCTTTAATGACTGTGCCCAGCACGATATATCCTGGGCCTGGGATGAAGTGAGGTACGCGCGCGATTATGATGATGGCCACGTGGAGTGGCTATTGTCTGGCGGCTTAAGATACGTCAACAAAATCCTGAGTACCGCAAATTTTCACGATCGCTGGGTACTCATGGGCGGCCGTGAGGCTATCCATCACGAATGCAATTGGCTGTACGAGACTTTCCAGACGTACAAGAACCTCTTTCTGTTAAGACAAAAAGGTCAGGCATCCGGCATAGGACGTGTCACCAAACCAGGCGATCTGAAGGAAAATGACTCCCTTTCTACCGTCGAGAGGCTTTGGGAGTGGTCCCATGTGAAACACTACGAAGGCTGGGGCGAGCAGAGCTTTAGGTGCAATATGGCTATGGAGGACCTTTTCAGATCACTGAGGTCGTGTGGATATGTGTTCTGGGACGAAAGCAGATTGACACGTATCGGATGGTTCGACCAAAGTGTGCATGATCTCGACCTTGACATTGGGGATGAAATCTTCAAGAACGCCCCTTCACTTCGATCAGAAGAACGTTCTTGGATAATTCGATCTGGTCTTTATCAGGACGGGAAACGAGGTTACTGGGACGGGGATCCGGAGACGACAGCTATCGATCCCTCACAAGAATGGAGGCTAGCAGCTTACGACTAGTATTCGAGGGTACCATTTATAGCAGAAGACTTTCGTGGGAGCTCTTTCGCTCAATGTTATTTAATGTTACTTTCTTTCTATTTTCGCTCTTCTGCGGTAAACAAATTTGTGCTGATTTTATCCGACAAGTAATTTTATGACTTGACCATGGCCCAAATATCAAGTTGTTCACTAAGTAGCTGTATTCCACCTAACGAGGCAACGTCATAGAAAATAATCCCGCCAACAGGATAGGACTAGGTACATCTATCATCGAGAAATGAAATTGGTCCCGTGAAAACTTCGACATCCCCACGAACTTGTTTGCTTGCGTGGCTTGCCTGCTTTTGCAAACACATGCATCGACACACTATATTAATGTTCACGTTTCTTCTGCACCTTTTACGAGATTCTGGATGCTATGCTCGCTCTGGATGTGATAGTTGTGGCCATGTGGGTCACAAATATTGAGTATTGGATATATTCGACTCAGCCCTCATGTGTTGGCTTGCCACTTGCGCTATTACACCGCCATCAAATATTCACGCTAAGACCCAAATTTCCAACAAATGTCTGAAGTCACCCCCAGAGTTAGCTACGATGTTCTTATGAAGCTTTCCATAATTCTGAGTGACACATACGCGTTGAAGATTGCCCAGCTTACTGGCAAATCATACCGACGCCGCCAACAGGCGCGTAAGTACTCTTGCAAGTTGTGCCAGAGCAGCATCCGCGGTCTCCAGAACCACCACAGTTGGCTTCCAATGGTCAGTCTTAGTTGCACAGCAAAAGTCTGGGATGTAATTGAGACTTACCACCCTTGGAAGCGCAGTTGTCCTGCCTCTGGACCAGGCCGACATCAACAGATGCAGCAGAGGCAGCGGCAACGAGGGTAAGCACAAAAGCGAGAGTGAACTTCATGTTTTAAAATGATGAGATGAAAGAGAATGATTATGGAACTATATTATCCGGTATCTTGGGCGAAACATACAAGCCTATATATACTCAGTCGCTCGCCTTGCCACCGTTACATTGCCTCTCTGGGTCGCTTGGCTCCTTGATTGGAATTGATAGTAATCACCCTGTTGATCATGTTGCCGAGAACACCAAGCCGCGACCTGGAGTTGTGCACACGGGCTACATTACTCAAGTGAATCGTCTTGAGCTAGTTGTCGCCTATGTTCTGAGCTGGTCAGGGGTCAACTGTCTCCATGCTGAACTCAAATATGTGGGGTGCCGTCGCGTTTGCTCGTCAGCGGAACCCCGCGAGTTTCGCTCAGTTGCCATTCATTGTATCATGTTAACTCGCTGTAATTTATTGCCCCCTTGGCCCCATATTCTGTTTGGGCGTTGCCGACAAACATCTGATCACACGCGGACGAACCCGTCGTCTGCGCGTTGCCGTCGTCGAAGACGCCCGTTGTAGACGAGGCACGCTTTCCGCGCTCAGACGCCTGACTCGCAAGTGTGATAATCCAAGAGCTCCAGGAGCTTCGTAAGGATTGTGAGATGTGATTGCGCCTCTCGCTGGTGCTCCACCTCAACGAGATCATCGCGAGGACTTGACTGGTGTTAGACTAGCAGGGACGAACGGCAGAAGTTTTTCATGGAAATGCAAAGCATCACCAACTTTCTTATGTAGAAAACGCTTCCATGTCTAGATGCGGAATAGACAGCGCGATGATAAGCTTCGGGTCAGGGTTCTAGGTCCACCAATTAGCAGCGAACGGGGACGACCTTACTAAGGACCTCTTGAACCTTAAAATGCATGAAAAGCCTGAAGGTTGATTGCTATATTGATTTAATAAGTTTATTTGAACCACGCTGTGTCTACCAAACCGAGCCTCAACTGTTCTCAGACAACATCTCTGGGGTGCTGATTTGGGAATATCATTATTCGTGGTATGTAACTCCTCAGCGGCAAGCGCAAGCTACGTTCCGTACATGAAGGTGCGTCTTTGGTCCCCTCTCCGTATCTCAGATCTGGCTTCAGCTGCAAATTGAGTTTCATCCCACGTTTCAATCTCAATTGCGCGCTTTCTGTTCTCCGTTTTGTACGCGTATTTCAGGAACACCAGACCGCAAATGCCGCAAGCCATGATGACCATCGTTATGATCAGAGGTACCTCATCTAGCATTTTGTCAGTCTGGAAAACCTTGAGTACGTGGTTTGATCGATTGGCATACATCTTGGTGCGTACTTGCTCTTGAAAATCTGTCCCGCGATGACGCCGGCAATGTTGGACCATCCATTGATCCCCATCATGACGCTTCTGGTGCCTTTCCACGGCGTGTTGCCGGCCAGCCACACTGCTAGCAGCGGACCACCAACGAAAACGCCTGCCATGCAGACATGAGCGAAACCGTATCGAAGCTGAGTGTTGGTTGAGGTGGCCATGACGATGCAACCGATGATACCAAGACACATGCCACCGACAGTATGCATAGACCGTTCTTTGAAATGGTCACTCAGCCAAACGATGACAAGAAGACCGACAGTGCCACTAGAATGCAAGTTAGCACAACTCTAGAAGAACCACGTTGGGTTAGCAAAGCGACTCACACTACAAATGGGGAAACACTCATGAGAGTTGCCTGGATGCCAGAGTATCCCATGCCCTGGACTATCAAGGGCAGAAATGTCGTGAAAGCCGTTACTGGAAGGACAGTTGTGATGTTGCAAACCGCAACGAAAAGCTTCTTCCAATCTTTAGCGACGTCAATGAAATCCCTTTCGACGACAGCCGTGCTACCGATGTCTCCCTCCTCTTGGGTTCCTGCCAAGTCAATCTCCATTCGTCGTATAGCGTGAGCACGCTCCTCGGCCGTGAGAAACCAGGCGGTTGACAGGTTTTTAGGCAGAATAAAGAACGTCAAGATACCAAGGAAAACCGTTATAGCGCCTTCAAACAAGAAGACCACCTGCCATCCGTGTATGCTAGACGAGCTGATTTTCAGAAGTCCGTATGCCAAGACTCCGGCGAATGCCCCTGCGACGGAATACATTCCCGTGAACATCCCAACTCGGAAGCCGACATCATACTTAGGATACAACGTAGACATGTAAAACATACCGATCTGGGTGAATCCAGACTCAGAAGCACCGATCAAAAGTCGAAGGGCAATAAGCGTGCCACTGCCTCTGATGGCGGCGTGGCACATGCAGAGTCCACCCCATGCAATGAGCTGAAGTCCCAAAAAGTACTTGACGCCAACGCGGCGTGCCAGGATCACCATGAATGGCTGAAGTGGCACGTAAGTAGCCGAGAAAAGCGATAGAGAGTTTGGGATATCGTCAGGAGAAAGGTTCGCATCTTTGACGAACGAGCTGGTCGCGACGAAGCCAATGTTGGTTTTGTCGATGCCGCAGAACTGGTTTGGGTGAGCCCAAGAAAGAATGCGTTAGATGTATTCGCTATTTTACTCACGATGAATTCAACCGCCAAAAGACTGACGACGATCAAGTCAAGTTTGAGGTTGACCCTTCTGTCGATCCTTTTCTCCTCGTCATCCACGGGGCGATAGTGGGTCTGGTGCTGTCGGGCGACATCATTCTGTACAATTTCGAGATGCTCAGGGTCAATATCCCCTTTATCATGAGGTAACACACGGCTCTCGAGGCAAGTAGATAGTTCTGTGGTTTGAGCTACAATACTGGTCTATGGGGCTGTTTCCTTTTGTACTGAGAGGCCTGGGCATAAAGCTGTGCCATGTTGATCACACAGCGCCTCCACACCAACCCCAGATTTTCCCCGGATTACCTATTAGATTAAACCCGATCTTAGAAAGAATAAATCATCTGCGTCCACGTTCTTGCTGTGCTGTTCAATAGGTTGTTCAGATTTCTTGGCTATCGTTTTCCCACATCGGCCAGCACAATCACCCCACTTTCCCACTCACTAGGCCACCTGCATTGAAGCCGAGGATGACTTCGCTATTCGACGATTTGAAAGCTTGCAGTGGAATGCGACTCAGACAGTCCCGGATGTTATAGTGAAGGTCTGTCAATAGGTTTTGTCTGATCTTAGGCCGTGCTGCAAGACATGACCTGGGCCGCTGGGCGTTCAACCTTTGCTCGATCACGTCTCCGGGCCATGCTAACCATACAGACCCCAACCACAAGCTTTTACAAACCAAACATCCTCTTATCTTTTGGTCACGAGATTTCAACGATTGGTATGGCTGCAATTAGCATCTCAGAGCAAGCCCAAGGGGGCAGCATACCCTTTGACATCGATAAATCAGCTGCAGTGATCAGCAACGACCCCGCCAAGATATATGAAGAGTACCGATATCTTCGGAAAGAGTGTCCCCTGATTCACACCAGTCAGTATGGGGGATACTGGCTTCTCACGCGGTATGATGACGTTAAACGAGCAGCTTTGGATTCAGAAACGTACATATCAAGTGTCAGGGCAGTTGTACCAAGCGATCCAAGAGGCATCCGAAGACCGCCTTTGAACTTTGATGCACCAGCTCATACCCCCTTCCGAACTGCGCTTGAACGCACAGTGAAGCCAGCTCGACTGAGAAGACTGCGGGAGCCATTGCAGCGGCATGCGGAAGCGGAGCTCGCTCCTCTGCTAGCCCGCGGCCGTGGAGACATCAGTGCTGAGTTTGCAGCGAACTTTGTTGCCCGCATGGAATCCGAATGGTTGAATCTCGAGCCCGATGTTGCTCCAAAGCTGGCCATCATGCCGCAAGTTGGCTCAATGCTTGGAGAATGCAGGACGGTGAGACGGTCACGACAAATTCACAGAAAATGTATCAGATCGCACAAGAACTCCTTGCCGACCGACGGATACATCCAAGGGACCCAGAAGAAGACCCAGCGTCTTCACTACTCCTAGAGCGAGATGCTGAGGGTCATCCTTTGAAGGAGGAACATCTCATGTAAGGCCCATGCTATACCAACGCATTACATTTCTCACCGTCTTCCAGCGGGTGCCTCCGACAATCTTTGGTGGTGGGTGTTGTCGCGCCCCCCATTCTCATCGGCTCCATATGCAACCACCTTTCCAAAGACAAAGAATTGCAGAACAGACTGAGGGAGGATGAGTCCCTCATACCAGCCGCACTTGAGGAGTTCTTGCGACTCTACAGCCCATATCGAGGCTTTGCGAGGACGACTTCAAAGGAAGTCTGTCTTCATGGCAAGACAATACATCCCAAAGAGCCAATCACACTGTGCTATACAGCAGCCAATCGTGACCCAGAGGTCTTTGAGAATCCTGACAACTTCATTCTTCATAGAGAGAACATTGCATCGCACATGGGATTCGGAAGGGGGAGACACAGATGTGCAGGCATGCCACTTGCAAGATTGTGAGTCTCACAACCATCACGGAACTTGAGGAGTTCGTACTGATTGTGTATACTAGGGCTCTTGACATTGTCCTCCGCGTAATACTTCGAGACACAAAAGACTTTGAGGTGGACGGTGAGTTGCAGTACTCAAGGATGCCGGAGTTGGGAATTATTAGCTGTCCCATGAGATTTGTTGAATGACGGGGGTCGCGAAGTATTCGGCGACACTGAGGGAAAAACATCTGTCCAATAATTTTGAACCAGCCGGGCGGGGGAATACACCACTTCGTCTCGTCTCAGTAAATGATACAGAGAGCAACCATATCAACCGCATGAGTTCTGAATACGCTTGAATTCAACTTTCTCAAGGTCATGTCTCGTGATTGAATTGCTTGAGCAGAAGGTTCAAGATTTCCGAAGTCTAGATACCGATATCAGAGTTCCGCTGACTCAGTCCACGAAATGCGGTCGCTCTCCGCACGGACTTTCCATCACATCGGCCTGACCTCCATCACGGCACAATCATATCAATATCGCTTGGAAAGAGACCGTAGCAAATCGGCTGTTCGTGTTATTATGCCCCGTAGGTTCAGTAACCCAGCTCGCTGGTGGGAAATGTGGAGTTCACCCGTGTGGGAGAAGTGGGAAAGACGACAGTCCAGGGTGGGTGAATTGCCGTGGGTGACTGTGGGAAAGGGGTACCCTTGTCAACACCGGCTCTTTAGCGTGATTTTCGGCATTTGCTGCAGTCTGCACAATTGTCGCGGGGGCTGCGGGGAAGTTGGGGAAAAAGCTCTTCTTCTCTCCATCAACACATTCGTAATAGCCACCGCACATGTGGGAAATGCATATGTGACGCAACCGCCATGGCCGACGAATCCCGAGAGACGGCCCCGGTTACCAATTTTGAATGTTCCTTCTGCCGAAGGAGGTTCACAAAGAAGGAACACCTCAAGGTGAGAGGCTCTGAGCAACTGTTGCCGACCAATGACGTCCCTCAGCTGAACTTTCCCTCAGAGACACGAAAGAGCCCGTAAGTCGAGCGCGTTAGCAAAATCCACTGCGCGCAGGGGATTTTCTGCCCGGTCTTCCAGATTCTGACCTCCACTTAAGATACCGGATCGAGACCTTTCAAATGCACAATATGTGATAGGTGCTTTTCCCGTGGAGATGTGCTCAACAGACACGTCAAAGGACACAAGCAGGGAGCCCAGCCACAACTCACTCCGACCGGAGTTGCAAGCGGTGCTTCATCCTCAGTGCATCCTTTTCAGCCCCCTTCCGGAAACGTTGCGATACACAATGTGGCGCCTCAAGTTTCTCAGGCAATGCATGCCAGCGTAGTGTCTGCTTCAGACCATGAGGGCAACAACCACAATGTCGCATCTTCGTCTCTTCTTTGGCCTGACTCTGAAGAACTCTTCCAAAGTCTGATGTCAGCGGATGGGATGACGTGGGACCAGTCTATGCCTGGATTGATCCCATCGGCCTATCAGCCCCAGGATGTGCAGTCTGCTGGACTCAGTAGTACGGCCGATGGCGATGAGCTTGCTCTCGCAGAGGATGGGCATCGTGCGGTACAGACTATCAATGGAATACTCACGAACACGGTAAGACAGTTTTCCGGATGATCCAGGTCACCGAGTATTCGATGCTGAAAGTAGGCCTGCTGACTGACGTTTGTCGCCCTCAAGCTATTCAACGTTACCTCTCATGTAGAGCTCTCCGATCTGACCCCTCGGTTCCTCGACAGCAGCCTACATATGTTCTTCACCAAGTTCGTACCCATACTTCCGATCATTCACCGCCCTACATTCGTGTATCGGGACTGTTCAGCTCCACTCCTCTTGAACGCGATCGCTCTTGGTTCTCTGTTCCTCGGGACAGAAGATGCCACAGTAAAAGTAAGTAACTCAATAGTCTCCCTATGAGATTTTTATTCTGACCGTCGTACAATCAGGGTGAAGCACTGTGGAGGCTTGCGTACACTGCGATTGCGACCTCATGGCCCGAAATGACCGGCCACAAGAGGGAGCACGACGCGTGCAGTGGAGTTGAACTCGTTCTCACGGCGTTATTGAGTCAGATCTACGCAGCTCTGTCCAGAGTGAGTGGAATACTTTCAAGCCGTTGCATAAACGCCGCCATGACTAATCATTCGTCTAGAACCGGACGTTGAGAATGACCAGCCAGACTTTCTATGGCCTCAGTATGCATTGGGCACAGTACTGTGGGATGTACGACCTCGTGCCTTACCGACAGACCTTGCCACAGGCTCATGACTCCATCGAGACGAAGATGCACGCTTGGAGGTCATGGGCGGCGAGAGAGACGCAATTAAGAACGCTGCTGGGCCTGTGCATCATTGACGGCGTGGTCTCGCAATTCAGTGGAAACCTTGTTAACACCTGGTCGGCGACAAACTCGCTGCCACTATCTGCCGATGAAGACGCTTTTGCTGCTGAGACAGTAGATGAGTGGATTGAGGTAATGGTGTCTCGCGGTCACAACACGGGTAGTGGACCAGATCGGTTCTCTGACCTCTATCACTCGCTCGTTCCTGATGGAACACACATGGGCCCAGTCTACTGCTTGCCGGGCCTACTCAACATTAGGATTCTCCTCGAAATACTGGCCTCACTTACAAATGACTTCGAAAGGCTGAACAAGGGTTCGCAGGCACAGGTTGCTCAGAAGCTTGGGGCCGTGAAAGCTTTGGTAACTCTGCGGACACATCTTGCCCAGAGCACCACGTTGTCGGCAGCAGACAAGACTATTGGCTTACTGCGATGGCACGCGGTCTGCCTCGACCTAGTTGTCAGTACTGCTCGTGGAGCAAGAAGGATGTGTTACCACTACAACATCACGCAGCACATCTTTGGAGGGAAGAAGCGCGAAGAGCCGAGCAGGATAGACCCTAATGCCTGGACGCAGGGTCTTCGGGCAAGGAAGTGTTTGCTTCATGCCATGGAGATCCACAAGATTGCGTCTGAGATTCCTCTTGGAATTATTCACGACACATGTCTACCGGGGGCATTATTTGCGGCGGCCACGACGTTCAGCTCATTCGCCCTTCCTGGGCTGTCAAAGATCCTAGTTCCTCCCTCCGTGGACTGGAGCATGGTTATTCTACAAGGCATAGACGACACGGGACAAAATACGACGTCTGCGACGGCTGATGTATCGAAAGACACGCTGGATTTTCTCACGAACAACGTCAATCCTCAATCTCCAGGATGGATGGCTCGGAATTTGGTATATGAGCTGAGCGCGATTCGGATTTTGCTGCACAGTCTTTCTCAACACTGGGGCGTCACGCGAGAGATGGAAGAGGTGGTTGGAGCATGGGAAGCCCGGTGTAGTTGACGGGGGACAACCTCTATGAAGCGACCGATTGTAATATCTACATAAGTTGCGACATTCCGTATGGTGATTAAGGAGTTCGCTTGTCGCCGTGTCTACGATGCGCCATCGGTTAGGACATTGTCAATGATGAACTGAACACCAGGTTCTCGATATGTGTCCGCTTCGATCCATGAGCCATATCCATTGAACACAATACTGTTTCCTTCATTGCCGTATTGTGGCCAAAGAGGCAGTCCAGTTCCTGTTTTTCTCAGCGTCCATTCAATGGCACATATCAGTATGAGGAGTACATACCGGAGACCCCCGTGTTCGGGTCAAGATCATGAGCAAAGCTGATCCACGAGGCTGACATCTGATATGCCATGCTCTGGTCCCAAGGCTGGTCTGGAATCAAGTTTGAGAACACGTATTGCTGCTCCACCCCAGTTCCGATACCTTTCGTCATTGATGAGGTGTTCGACTGTAAGTGGTTGAAGCGATATCTGTACACGGGAACGCCATCTCGAGCCAATGTCTGCGCAATCATCCGCGCTGGGCCAATCTGGACTATGTCACCGAAGATGGAGCATGCCATTTTGTCGAGAAGCCCAAATGTGAACTGAGTGTTTCCAGTGTTGTACGGACATCCTAACTGGGGATTTGTGGGGTACAGGCTGATGAGTTTTGAGACCGTCTCGTTCGGTAATAGCTTCGGGCGGAAGTAACCCTGAGCTGGATTCGTGTGAGATAAACTATGAAAGAAATACGTGCCTTATGGTGTCGTCATGACTTACCTACCGGATCAAAGAGCTGTTCAGTTGTGTTGATGCCGGTCGGCGCCGATGTGGTGCCTTCGTCGGTGTTTGCTGGGCATTGTCAGATACTGCTCTCGACATAACCTATTAGGGTGGTCAAGCTTACTTCCAACAACTGTGGGTATCTTGATGTATTGTCCAGCGGGGAGGGCCCGCTGAATAGATGTGCGGGTGAAGTCACCATCAACCGACTGCCCAGTCGACGATCCCACCTTTGCCCTGAACTCATCAACAGGCAACTTGCGAATGCAATCCAGTTTGTCTGAAGCACTTCCGTTGACAACAGAAGAGCAGTTAGTTCCATTTACCAGTGAATTGAATGTGCTCTGAAACGCAGTTGTATTTGGTGGCGTCAATGGAAATGCTCCGCCGCTTTGCAGTATGGCCCCGCGAAAGAGACCGTCATCCCTTCCACCATATGCCATCATATGGGAGTAGATAGACACCGCACCGGCTCTGTTTGATAGTAGTCGATCGATCAAGAATAATCACCCTGGCCGAACCTACGATTCACCTGCTAGGGTGACCTTCTTGGGGTCGCCCCCAAAGGAAGCGATGTTCTCTTGGATCCAACTCAACGCCCTTCTTTGGTCAAGCATGCCTGTGATTTGGATGTATGTCAGACTATGATACAATAGTAGAAGACGTGAAGTAACTTGAAGTTTCATTACCAATATTGAGCAAACCAAGTTCGGCCATCTCCTTTCCATTCAAGAAACCGAAAGGGCCTAGTCTGTAGTTCTGGCATCAGGTCAGCCTTTCTCCCGTTACAGAGGACTTGGTAATAGTCTACTACAAACTTACTACTGATACAAGAATGACAGGCTTGCCAATATCCTGAGAAATTCTTGCTATAGAAGTCCCTTCGAATCTGAGATCGGCCTAACAAATATTTCTAGATAAGAGATGTGTTGATGCGTGGGCATCACATTAAAGAGAATGACCTACGGTATAACCATTCGTCAACCCGCCTCCGTATAACCAGACCAATACAGGCAACTGGCTGCTGCTGGACGTCGCATTCGTTGGTCTCCATATGTTGAGCGTCAAGCAGTCTTCACTCGAATTGCCTTGGTCCCTCGCGGAGTAACAACAAGGTCCGAATTTTTCTGCTTGTAAATTGCCGAAAGACTTTCTCAGAGACACAGCTTGTCGCAGCCGCAGGTCTCCGACAGGTGGCTCCGCGAAGGGAATACCCAGAAACCTCTGGACACCGTTGACAGCATCGTTCACGCCAACAACTGTGCCGTTAGTGGTCAAGACTGAAATGGCAATTGATGGCCGAACAATGATGAGTAGCAGGAAAGCAAAGACAAATGATGTCAAGAAAGAGTGACTGGCCATCGTTCTGGATTCCTGTGTCTCTCAACGATTGACAATGAGCCACCTGTTGGGATTTATCAACCACATATTACGAGCACTTCCAAAGGCCAATCATCTAATAAACCCCCTGCGTGATCACCATAATCTAGCACCAATCTGACGACGACTTTAGCTGAACTTGGGAAATGCGGAGATCCCATGGGGTAGTGTGGTAGTGGTTTCCCACTACCGGATGATCGGGCCTATCCCACAATGTGGGAAAAGACCAGCGTCTCTTGGCAGTGGGGCAGCGATATTATCGAAACTCGGCATAGATGCTCGGGACATGGGCTAATCAATCATCAGGGGCTGTTCACCGAGAAGCTGACGGAAGTATTTGGGCAATTCACAAATCCTTACCTACACAAACCAGTGATCACTTGAGGGACGTTGTCGTTTAATGTCATTGAAAGGGCACATTGGCTGTGAATTGGGTTTTTCAGCAGGAAACGCCTCTAGCATTTGTGTGACAACATTATTTTCGAGATGCGAACGGGATCATTAATCCAAAGGTGCATGGTAACTAGAAAGAAATTGATTGCTAAGTTATGTACGGATACCAGAAGATTATACATGGACTTGAAGATTAATCCGTTATTCGATATTTACTTGCGTAAACGGGCGGCCAGTATTTACTGAATAGGAGTGACCTTGATGTTGTCCAAGTCTTTGAAGACGACATCGTTGATACCAATAGTCTTAGGACCCTCGCCGGTGAACCATGCCTTCGCCGACTCGTTCCCACGCAGCATCCACTGCAAGATTTGGGTACCAACCATGGCTGGGATTCCGCCATTGGGAGCATCAAAGGCAGCACTGTGGCCGAGATCGTGGTTTCCTTTCCAAGCGGGGGTTCCCGCAGGAACATCTGCGTAGTCTCGCTCACCCTGGTAAGAAGTCAGCATTCGAATGCCCATAAAACATTGTCAAGGCAACCAACATTTGTGTAGGCAATATCAGTCGGTCCACCAAGCGTGTAGAATACAGGCTTCTTGAGGCTGCCGGCAATTTCCTTGCTTGAGGTCTCGTTGAGAAGACCGCTGTTGAAGATGCCGATATGGCTGACGCGAGAATCATTCAGGCCGGCGCCGTAGGATTCGAGACCTCCACAGCTCTGTCCCCACACACCAATGCGAGAGGCGTCGATGTGCTTCCAATCGCCTTTGCCAGCGTTGGCGTGAACCCAGTCAATAGCGGCAGTAAGAGCAGCTGGATCCTGGCCGGATGCGTTGACTGAAGGGTCACTCGGAGGTTCTACGTAGGTTTCTGGGTCGACATATGCTGGTCCTGTAGCAATGGCGAGTGCACCGTGGGACGCTACCTCGCCGAGAAATCCTCTGAAGGTAAGACCGACTTCGCCAAGTTAGTACTTGGCATATTCCATGGAGAAGAGTGTTACTTCGGACATACTGCGTCGATGTTAGCGCGAATTCTATTAAAAGTCTTCGGACGCTCTTACCAAGGCTTGCAGCCGCCATTACCCCAGACAATGACGGGCAGCTTGAGGCTTGAACCAACCGCGGATTCTAGCGGCTGGTAAAAGCTATGATTGGCCAGTGATTCAACCTCGAAGTAATACTTTCATTCATGTTAGTCGACATCCAGGCACGAGACAAAGGCCACCGCGTGCATACCGACTTGTAAGGGCCAGTGCCGCCGTACTATCAAGAAAGCATGTTGTCAGTCTTCATGAGCCCAAGAGGTCGAGGAGCGGTGGACCTACTGATGGGCCATGGTCAGTAGCGACAACAGCGGCAACAAACCCAAGAAAAGCGACGGTCCTCATGTTTGCAGTAAGTTGTCGTGCTCAACTTATCGAAATCGGCGGCCAACAATGCACCAAGTCCCCGGCGTCAAACATGCGTTTGACCGTCCGCTATATAAACGATTCATGTTTCCTGGTTAAACATTAAGCCTTGACGAAACCTTCGGAGATTTGCTGTCAACAAACCAGGGGACACGGATCGGAGAGATGCCCCTGACGAATTGCGCCGAGGACAAGGTTGTATCGATCGCCATGGGTAACCCCGCATTTACACGACATGCTACCATAATTGTATAGAAACAAGTCAATTCCTCGACTACTGTTAATGAAGTTACCATCAGAATGGATTTCGCTCGTCTCTGATGACCCTTCACAGAGATGGAGTGGGCGCATGTGGGAAAAGTGCTCCCACCATCGGCTTGGCATCGAGCGAATGTGGGAAAATGGCTTTCCCACATTCTCCACCCAAGCTGAACGTCGCCATGCCGGCCGCCAATGAAGCATGTAACTCGTCTCCCGGAGCCGAAGGATGGCCTCAACAGCGAAAGAGTCGGAACCGGACTTTTGGTTTTAAGATGCCGAAGGTCTTTCTGCACAGTTCACTGGCTTGACGGCCGCCCTCGCTTCGAAAACCATTTCCTACGAGCGACTGCATTGAGGATTTGAGAAAGGCGAAGAACGATTCTGCATAATTCAACGCCAAGTTGAAGTTAATGGCAAAATCGCGAGGGTTCGCTCAAAGAGGAATGTGATTATATGATTGGATAAAAGTGTTGTCTTTCTTCCCTTAAGGACATTGAGATCGCGCACTGCGGTATGGGTCAATGCTCAGACGACTTTTGCTACCAAACATTAGACTTCGCAATCCGGCTAACCTCGAGACTCAGTAGGTGGCGGCTCAATGAACAGCAAATTCACTTGGTATGGATGCTGAATACGATGGAATACACGACCGCTGTTACAATGTCTCCTGTATTTCCCTGGAGCCATGGGAATTATTCTGTTGTCCTAAGGTTGTCAGAGAGTGGGTTTTACAAATTCGCAGACTTCGCCAGGAGGCTGCAGATCTATAGATGCTCAAGAGGATAATACTTCTTAGAATCAATACATCAGATTTCTGAAGCACTTGACCTCATCGCTGATTCGCCACAGAATTGAGACTCCATCATCAAGGTCTAGGGATAGTAGCGTAAGGTAGTATTAACCCAGCAGTGTAGCACGGGCCAAGACCATTCTTCTGTCTGCATTGTTTTTCTAATCCCCTCTCCATTCTCTTTTCTCAGAGTTCTTCCAAGCCATATGATGTCGATGCGTACCTAAGTATTTGACTTTCCTATCAAAAAAACTGAGGTCAAATAGACGACGAGGCAAAACGCACAATGAATCTCATCTGCCCCACGCTCCAGGAGGCTTGGTTATACCATATCGGCAACCCCTCACCCCTCAAGACACCACGCTGGTCCATACTGGATACGTACCGTATAATCCAGAGAAAGAAGTCTTGAACCAGCAGCACAGCACTGTTTGTCGACTTCCAACCGAAATTGCACTGGAAGTAATGGGATGCCTCGGTCCACCTCAGCTGTATCTCCTTAAATAGGCAAACTGGTCGGATGTTTTGGCGGCTCTTCACGGACAGAAAGTTTGCATATTTGCACAAGGAAATCGTATGGTTGCCAACGAATCTTAAGCCAAACGAGCGTATTTCAGTGGATGTTCGTGGGTATATGATCGATTTCAACCAAATAAACGGTTCACCTGACTGGCGGCAAGCCGCAAGGTTGCTCATGAAGGACCATCTCCGTCAAGACTGCCGTGCCAACCAAGATTCGATTCTTCAAAGTCGATGTTTGACAAACGATTATACTCAACGACGCTCTTGGACACCGGTCTTCTGCAATGGGTGTAACACAGAACATTCATTGGGGTACTTTTCCGAGGCCCAGGCAAAGTCAGCTTGACCCAAAGGTATGGCTTGGGAGGGAAAGTTACAAATCTGCCCGCATCGCTATATGCCGTTATTGGACACAAATATGCCTTCATGCGAGACATCGACCTTGCCAAACAACTGGATGCCAGGGACGATTGTCACTTTTGCCGGCTTGTCCCAAAGCGTTCAGCGATCCAGCCCCACTAGTGGTGAGGTTCCACCGCGGATAACTGTTGATGCGCTTGAGACGGCTCGGCTGGAGTGGACAATCGAAATATGCGAGCTTGAACAGAACAATCTGATCACCAAGGACCTTTTGAGGAGCCGCTTAAGGGATCTCAAGAAGCAACACGGAGATGGGCTTCTCTGCCCACACATTTCGTTCGATGACGGTCAACTCATGATGTCATTTGACCATAGACACTGTGTCTGCTTCCGAGAAGAAACAATGAAGCGCCCTGCATGCCGCGATACATTCAGAAGTCACGATTCATGCTGTGCTCATCGCGGCCGTCCGGAGACAACGGCTGTATGCTTGCACCCAAGCGGCTGTAGCGATTTGCTGCACCACTTCCTTTGCATTTGTTGTTTGTCGGGATATCAGTGGACACTGATGGGGAGGCGGGTCTCCCTTCGCAGACTTCACAAGTTACCAACTCTCGAGTGTTTTTGGTCATTTCGAACTTCGAGAGGACCCAGTTTCGTCCGAACGCGCCCGGACATGGACTCTTTCTATGCCAACAAAATGATACGTTTGCTTGATACAAATACGTATCAGGACAATCGCTTCTCGAAACAAAAATTGCTTTGCAACCAGAGGGGTTGCTGGAACTCTAAAACGAATTGGATACTAGAAGCTTAGTGACTTGTGAAACGTAGAATTAGCAAGATAATCAGGATGCATGTACTCAATTACAGAGACCACTTGCCCATCACCGCCAACAGCATAGGGTTTTGCCGTCTGTGTGACTCAACTATCGATGCTTATTGGTTGCCGAATACCACCTTGTTTTAATGCTTGAGAATCTGATACTGAGTGCTCCTGCTGTAACAAAATCCGAGTTCTTCCCGCTCCGGTGCCCACGACTCCGCAGTCCGGCTAGACTCAGAGGTATCACTCCCAGTGCCTCTCCATGTTCCGTGACGTTCATATGATCTTCGCATACTCTGCACCCAAAGAATCCTCCGCCCACTAAGATATCGTTTCATGCAAGCCAAATCCCGCCTGCCATTCGGGGAATGTGACCCCTGCTGCCTATGCAGGTAAGCAAGCCTTAGCTGCGACGCTAAATATCGGCAACCTCGACGATTGGAAGCACAAAACACTCAAAGACCCACCAGTTCCAGGTCCTTTGACGCAATGTGGAACTGACCGTCATTTGGTCCCAACAGTAGAATGATCCCGCACAAATGGCTCATGAGGTGGCCTTCTGCTATTGATCGCCCGAGGTGTCATTCGTATCATCAACATACTGCTGTACTGGACGCACAAAGCCCTCATGGCTGTATCCATTTCCAAAGGGAGTATTAGGAACAGGCCATTTTGCGGCGTGGTCACAGTTTGGACGGCTTGCTGCAGGCCACAGAACCTTCAGTCAATCACATCAATCAGTCCTTAACTCCGCAAAATGCCAGATGCAACGGCTGATTCATTGTGTCCACGTGTCAGTGAATGAGTGTCAAGTCCCACAGACAGCACGCCATCCGCCTTGCGTATTATAGATACGTGGACCTGGTTTCGAACTAGATATCATCTACAATACAATCCTTTGCTTGTCCTCAACTTCGTTCTCGTGAAATTTCAGCATCAGATTGTTCCTCTCCATTCACCATCCGACTCATTTTCGTTCCCCTTACAAGGGAATCTGTGTTTTTGATTATCTTAGTATGGTTTCCAAGATGGCAAGGCGTTCGGCGGCTGTCCAGGAGACAACTTTCCTCGTGCCAAACATCCACTGTCCAACATGCACCGGTTTTATCGAGCCGCTGCTTCGGGAGCTCACCCCTTCGCCTAAGTCCATCATTACCTCGATCATCAATCACAGTGTCACCGTTGAACACGACAAAGCTCTGTCCCCGAAGAAAGTCTCCCGAGTCCTGGCAGACGCTGGGTATGACGTTGACAGCATCATCATCGGGCCCCAAGTTCAGGAGCCCGGGTCAGGCCGTGTGGCTCAGCCTCCCAATGCTAATGCTGTCGTCTCCGTCTCCCTACTGCGTCGTCTTTACGAAGCACTCGATTGCGTAGGCAGACAAATCAACGAAGAGGAAAAGCAAAGGCGACATGCTGAGCATTGCATGCAATGCCGAGAGGAGAAACTCGAAGGTGACGGACAAGCCATCTCTGGAGTGGCCATTGGGAACGACCAATCTTTGAAGCTGCACCGAGCCATCATATCGATCGATGGAATGACTTGCAGCTCCTGTGTCGGCAATGTCACAAATGCGCTCGAAGCACAGACATGGGTCCAGTCCGTCAATGTTGGTCTCATCACACGCGCGGCTACCATCGAGTTCTTCGACGAGAACAACACGAATGAGTTAGTCAACACCATCGAGTCTCTCGGATACGATCCTACACTTGAACGGGTAGAAGAGGTCGCTGGGAGCTCTACGGATAATCTCTGGCAAGCTTCGCTTTCCATCATGGGTATGACTTGCAGCTCTTGTGTTGGAACGGTGACCGGCGCCCTAGAGAAGCTGCCCTATACAGAGTCTGTCAATGTCAATCTCGTCACGAGCAGCGGAGTGGTGAACTTCCACGATAAGAGCCACCTGAACAACATCGTCTCTACAATTGAGGATCTTGGATACGAAGCCACTCTAAACAATCTCATAGAGGTCAACAGCGATCGGTTGAAAGATTCCCACAGAGTACTCTCTATCAAAGTCACCGGCATGTACTGTGCACACTGCCCAGGACGAGTCTTGGCCGCATTCTCCCCTTTCGGAGACAGGCTGTCGGTGCAAGACCATGGAACACTCGAAAATCCCATATTCACAGTCACATACGTACCTCAGGTTCCAGACTTCACCGTCAGGGCTATTCTCGAATCCATCATGGCGACTGACGACGCCTTCGTACCCACGGTCTACCATCCACCTACCATGGAGGAGAGGTCTCAGCAAATGATGCGTCGCACACGACTAGGTCTGATGCACCGCGTTTTGCTTTGCTTCGTTGCCGCCATTCCAACGCTGATCATCGGCATTGTCTACATGAATCTCGTGTCACCAGAGAATCACGAGAGACACTATCTCATGCAGCCGCTCAGTGGTGTATCACGAGCCGAGTGGTCTCTTTTGATAATGGCGACACCTGTTTACGTTTTTGCCGCGGATATCTTTCATCGACGGGCGATTAAAGAACTATACTCGCTCTGGCGACCTGGCAGCCCTGTTCCAATTTTGCGCCGCCTTTACCGGTTTGGTAGCATGGACATGCTTGTTAGCTTCGCCACAACCATCGCCTACTTCAGCTCGATCGCAGAGATTATCATTGCGGCGACTAACAATCATCATGTGGAGATGCAATCCAGACCTTCCCACATGGATGCCGTCGTTTTCCTGGCTCTTTTTCTATTGGTGGGCCGTATGATCGAGGCATATAGCAAGGCAAAGACTGGTGAAGCCGTGTCAAAGTTAGGAAGCTTGAGGCCCAAGGAGGCGCTGCTCCTCGTCAACGAACAGAATGGGAACAGCCAGGTGAAGACCATCGGCGTGGACCTGCTTGACTGCGGCGATCGGGTGAGAGTTGTACACGGTGGCTCGCCACCATGGGACGGTGTCCTCATCGATGGCTCCAACGCCGAATTTGTCGAGTCCAGCCTAACGGGCGAGTCAAAACCTGTGGAGAAGCAGCTGGGCGATCCCATTTACTCTGGCACCGTCAACAACGGTGGCCCGATCACCATGCAGATTACCGGCGCTTCTGGGGATTCCCTCCTCGATCAGATCATCAAAGTCGTGCGGGAGGGACAGGCTCGACGCGCTCCGATTGAGCGTGTGGCTGACTCCATCACTGGCTACTTCGTTCCAGTTGTCACACTCATCGCCATTACAACCTGGGTAACCTGGCTGGGTCTTGGACTTTCGGGCCGTCTACCACAAGATTATGAAGACGTCGCGGTTGGAGGCTGGCCATTCTGGTCTCTTCAATTCGCCATCGCCGTGTTTGTCGTAGCTTGTCCATGCGGCATTGGTCTTGCTGCTCCGACTGCACTTTTTGTTGGTGGCGGACTCGCGGCAAAACATGGTATTCTAGCTAAGGGTGGAGGTGAAGCCTTTCAGGAGGCCAGCAACCTGGATATTATCGTTTTCGACAAGACTGGCACCTTGACTGAGGGTGGAGAACCCACGCTCACTGACCACCGTATCCTCGCTATCGACGACGCCCAAAAGGGTGCTTGGGATGAGAACATCATCCTCGGCTGCCTGGCGGAACTCGAGAGCAACAGCAGCCATCCAATCGCCAAAGCTATCACCACTTTCTGCGGGTCTCAATGCCAGAATAGCTTCAAGTCCACAAGCATCACAGAGGTGCCTGGAAAGGGCATCAAAGGCACCTTCACAAGCGCTTCTTTCTCGGCTTCGTTCGAGATCATTGTTGGAAATGAAGCCCTGATGGCTGATCACGGAGCCAGTTTTGATGAGCAAACGTTGGAGGAACTAGACAGTTGGAAGAGTCAAGCCAAGTCCGTGGTTCTGGCTGCTGGCAAATTAGTCTCGTCCGACGACAGTGTTGGATGGAATCCTCTAGCCATTTTCGCTGTTTCGGATGCTATTCGCCCAGAGGTGAAGCCCGTTTTGGATGCTCTACGAGAGCAGGGTATTGACGTATGGATGCTGTCTGGAGACAACGCCAAGACCGCAAGAGCTGTTGGTGCTATGGTCGGCATCCCGGAGGACCGCATCATCGCCGGCGTGCTTCCTGAGCAGAAGGCCGAGAAGATTGAGTACCTGCAGAAGAGCCAGATCAAGATTGAATCCTTTCTGGGCATTGGGAACTCCAGGTACCGGCGGCCGACCGTGGCCATGGTTGGAGATGGCATCAATGACTCTCCTGCATTGACTGTCGCAGACGTTGGCATTGCCATTGGCTCAGGTTCCGACGTCGCCATCTCTGCTGCCGATTTTGTTCTCATCAACTCAAGCCTCACGACGCTTCTCACACTCACGAGTCTCAGTCGAGCGGTGTTCAGACGCGTCAAGTTCAACTTTGCATGGGCTTTGGTCTACAATCTCGTTGCTCTGCCTATCGCCGCAGGTGTCCTGTACCCGATCAAGACGAACGGAAGTCACACGAGGTTAGATCCGGTTTGGGCGGCACTTGCAATGGCTTTGAGTAGCCTCAGCGTCATCACAAGCAGTCTGCTGTTGCGTCTTCCGCTACCGGTAGTTGGGTACAAGACCAAGACCATTGGGAACTTGTAGATAATCGGAGGATGTGTATTGACGTTTTCGACATTTAAGTACTTTACGTTGGGTTCATTCTTGAGTTCGTACAATAGTTAATCATTATCTCTTGCCAATTCGTTGTACCCATGTTGAGAGCGACTGATGCTGTGGAAGAAGCTTCAAGTCAACATCACTTCGCTTATGAGTACTCACCGTCTGATTGTTCATTGCGGAGGCCTGCTTGATGCCTCGCCTGCATGAGTGTAAGGACGAAACTGCCCATCGCTATCAAAGGGCCAGGTAAGGCGTTTTTTCTCGCTACCATACCTCTTGAATGGGGCTGCCGGTGGGCGCATTATAATGGCGAAGATCACGCCCAGGTACACTGCCACGGCCCACAGGCTTTGAAACCACAGTTTACCTCAATAGAGGATGAGTAATCCTGCCCGAATGTCGCCTCAAGTGCTGCCTTGGCAGTCCTTGACTCAAGTCAACGTGTCTTCAGCTGAAGGGTCGACAAGAATGGGACGATAAGAGGACGACACCCCGCCTGCCTTCGAGACCGGCCCATGCCGACCATTCCCTCACCGCCGATACTGAACTCCATCTGCTTGAAAATGAAGTCATTTTTCTCCAAGTTTATTGCTCCGCGAGAGAACAAACCTGCGACACAAGCGTCACCGGAAGAATTGTACGATGCAATTGAACCACAGATTAAGGGCAACCTTGAAATCGTAATTAACTCGACAAATCGCGAGAGATGGCCCGACATCATTCTCAAGGCACGAAGACATATGCGATGCCACCCCTACCATCCCAAACGACTACCAAAATCTTATCGACCGTTCCAGATGGTCGTAGACCCGCCGAGCGATGAAAGCCACGAAACCAATGATGGACCAAGCCGACCCGCTTTAACGACATTTCCAGTGTTCATGGACCTGCCAAAAGAGCTCAGAGACAAGATCATGCTCATGTCGCAAACTCCTACCGTAACGCAGGGGAAAGTCGTTATCGACCTGGAATGGAGAGAAGGACCGCAAATCCACTTTCAACCGTACAGATCATGGTCTAGCGTGGCTCTATATGCAGTCAGCCGGGAAACGAGAGCGTTGGCATTCACCTACTTTGGAGAACCGCAGCCAGATTCTATCCCGTTCAATTCTTCGCAGGATTTTCTGGAGGTTGACTGGAACGGGTCGATGCAAGCTGAGCGCAGCTGGACTGGCGACCACAAGGGCCCCGGACCTGTCCTCGCAACTCGAAGGCGGAACGTTACCGAGAAAGAATGGCCCATGCCCCGAGATCTATGTGAAAGAATACAGCACGTAGTCATTGATGCCCGCAACGCGGCCTTCGAAGATGACTCCAAAAAAGGGCCTTGGCGACTGGTCTTCGGGCTTCTCAGGGATCATTTCAAGAACCTAAGGATCTTAGACATCAAGCTGTGGGACTTGGATGATGCGAGATCTGACAGACCGTATGATCCAGTATCTCAAGAGCTGTATAGAATTGATCAACTGGATTTTCTTGACGAGTTGGAGGACATATCCTCAAACGGCCATACGCCATTCGCGAGGCTAGAGTGTGTCAGTATCATACCAGAGCTTCTCACGCCCCTACAGGCGGAGAGAGAGTTGTTCAAGTTTCGGGTGGTCAAGGGAAGCCACTTTAAGGTCATCAATGTGGGCGAGCTTCCGCGAGCTGGCATATAATCATGTGTTAGCACGACCAATCCAATGAGTGCCCAGTAGTTCTGGAAGAAAACAGAACGTACAAATCAATTGTTTCACTTGGCCCAAATTTTTTTACTTCCGCGATGAGTAAACAGCAGCATGATCAGAGATTCCAATGAAGGTTCTCAATTTGATGTCGCAGACAACACCTCTCAACTGTGGGTATTTACATGAGACTCGGCCACATGACGAAAGAGAAAATTCTGAAAACCAGCATTGAGACCATCTTCGAGGGATGCATATATGAATAAATGCAACTTCCAAACCACTCAGTTCAAAACGCAGCCAATCCTAACCAAGTCAGGGTGTGTACCATAGCAGACCGTCGAAGAACATTGTCGGAAACTTATGGGCCTTCTGCCCGGACTCAGCTTTCTGAGCCGAGTAGCCATCCGGGTGAATTCTCACGATCTCCGTTGGAATCAAATTCAAAGGTCGTCTGTTGCGCCTCCCCGTATCGAGCGCCAAGATATTTCCGCTAAAAGTTGCCTTCTTTTTCATCAGCCTAGACCAATATTCCCGAGAAGAGTCACTCGGTAATCTTTCCATCATGCTACTGATTTGGAGCTCCTCTGTGATTGGGCCACCCCACGTAAAGCACTCAGGTCGTTCCGTAGTAATTGACCGCTGATTGGGGATTGGCGCCAACTTCTTCTGGTCGACGAAGCGTTGAACCAATAACCAGACCAATATGGCTGGAGCCGCTTCAGAAGCTTTATGCGCAGATCTAAATCCTTGATTCCCGATGTATGTCAATAGCGCCCCTCGACGAACCAAGTACATCACGCAATCTTTCTGACCAGCCGCGCAAGCAGCCATCAAGGCTGACCCAAACGAACAGCCTTCGAAGTTGACATCAGCACCTATATGTAGTAGATTCTTTAACATCAACAAGTCCCCAGTCGATGCAGATATGCACAAAGGACTCCAACCACGGGCTGGTTCAAGATTTGCGAATGTCTTCAAAGAGTCGTGGCCATATCTCCTTAAATAGTATCTGTAGGCAGTAGTTATCCATATTGGTGTTGGGCTGGCTCTGGTCCACGGGAAAACTGAGCTGTCCTCTATATCAACATCCGAATTCAAGATGAAGGATGTAAAATGATCTTTACGAGTAGCGTGATGAAATGCGGACTCGACGTATCTCATAGAGTTGTTCCTGTGTATATTAAGACCGAGATGAAAACAACGGGCAAAGAATTGGCAGCTGTTCTCGTTGTTCATAGACATTAGATCCAAGACGGAAGAGTTCTCGTGATCTGTAACGGTGTAGTCGATGTTGGCATTGAGGAGATCCTTGACGACTGGAAATCGGCTTGCGTAAACCGCCTGTAACAGCGTTGTTCTTCCAAGTCGATCTCGAAAATCGACACTAGCGCCGTTCCTGATGAGAAGCAGAGCGGCGGCGCAAGTCTTGTCCTTTCGTGATTTCAGTGCGCAATTCAGGGGCGTTTGATGTAATTCTAAGGCTTGAGCGTTGATATCAGCTCCATATTCAAGTAGCGTCTGAATTGCTCGTAGTTTGCATTTGTGCGCTGCCCAGTGTAATGGCGACCACCCTCTGGAATCTGTTTGGGTCAGAGCCTCCGTTAAGGTCCACTGTGTCTGACAGGGTTTCCTGCGAAATGTTACTCATTGTTCTCTTCCATTGTGAGTATCAAAACTTACTGTCTGACTTCTAGATTGTTCTTCAATGCTCCTAGAAGAATTTCAAGTCCGTCGACATTTCCAGCTCTGACCGCTGTCTCGAGAAACCCTGGCCTCGCTTCCGTGAAGTGGCCTCCACCCACCGCATAACATTCCAGACATTGACGAAGCACCTCATTAAGATTGTGTTTTCGTATAACCAAATGCATTGCAGAGATTCGGGATGCAGAATGGCATACCTCTCGGGTTATATCTGCTTGGTTTTGCAGCAGCCACCTGACGATGCTGCTTCGACCCATCTCAATTGCTTGGATGAGCGCAGTGCACCCGCAACTGCCAAGAGGCATCTCAAAGTTATAGCCTGCATTTCGCAAAGTCTCAAGGATTTGTGAATTATTGTCTTCGATAGCCTTTTGACACAAATTTGCGAAGGCTCGATAAGGCGATCTGTGGGCAGCTTCTGCTAGCAAAGGCATGTTCTGCGCAGGTTTCGCCTCTGCCTCAATGGACATCAGCCATTCGCTTAGATGTTTGTTGTCGTTTGGGGCATAGAAAGATGGTAAAAACCCAGTTGCGTCCCGTGATGGCCTGCATCCCGCATGGAAGAGGACCCTGGCGAGGTTCAACCTTCCTGCTCTCGCTGCGAAATGGAGCGGAGAGCTCTCATATACTCCGCAGGCGTTAACATTGCAGCCTCGTGAGCATAAATATACCACCGTAGATACGTGGCCATTGATTGTCGCCACATGTAGAGGTGTGATATTGGCGTCGGCTTTGGCGTTGACGTCTTCTAGCAGGTTGTTCTCCAGGTAAAACCGTAATACGTCATCGGATCCGCTAGCGGCCCCCAGATGAAGTGCGTTGAGCCCACCCCAAAATACCGCGGGCTCACTGTCCAGAATATTCATGTAGCACGTTCGGTGCCAATCTTTGTAGGGGCTAGCAGAATTGACTGCAATGTCATCCAAGAAAGACACTGAATTGCGGTAGGCCGCAGCTAAAGCCCCGTCCAAACCGTTACAGTCGGCTAGAAACGGATCCCCACCATTCCTGAAGATAGCTGCAGCAGGAGCGGGCATACGATTAAGCACATAATCCACAATCGCCGTACGATGTGGGTATGAGTCGATCCGCATGTTGGGATCCAAGCCTCGATCTATCAGCTTTCCCAGAAGCCATTCGAAATCGCCTCCCAAGTCGTCTCCCAAAGATGATTCCAATTTATGTATCAACGCATATCCTTCGTTGTCTGTGCTGTACTCGTTGAGTCGAGACGCGTCAGGGTACTTAAGCACCAGCTTGGCTAACTTTCTTCTCGTCGACTGATCCGCTCTCAGACCTTTCAAAGAGAGTTCAAGTGCGGTTGATCCTCTCCAAATATCACCGTGGTCGTGCATGCTTACCCCTTTGCTAAGCAGCAGGTCGGCAAAGGCTATATTCTTGGAATGAAGTGCCGCTTGGAGCATATCGACGACCCGTCTATGACGCAGGACGCTTGACCAGTGTTTTGTTCCTTGGATCATGTCGCGTAGAATGTTCTCTGAACTTGAAGGCATATCGAAGAAGTTCATGCGTATTGGCGAGTCCAGTATCGGTCTCAACCCGGTTTTCCCAGTGAATTCTTCAAAGGCTTCGAAGTATCCCAGACGAAGC